AAAACCAAAATGCGGTCTTAGCAGGTCTGCAGGTCGGGGGGGGGGGTCTGGGGGGCAGGGGTCTGGGGACGGGGATATATTTTTGGCTTTCTAGGGCTATGTCCGAAGGCTGGCAAGCAAGCCCTGCAAGGTCATCCACACAACCTTCGCCTTTCCTGTCACGCGCTTGCCGTTGTGAGTTTATTCGATGCCTGCAGGCTTGGTCTCCAGAGAGTCCCCATGTCTCTTCTCTTGTCTTTCAGCGACGTGAGATTTTAGTATCATGCTGATTGTGTTGCACAGCTCAAGTGGTGTTTAAGGGGAAGTCAAGCGACACAGCGAACTTGACATGCTGGAGGTTTTCTGTTCCCTGGCAGATTTTGCTGCACATCTGGCGCCCGCAGCCAAGCTGGTCGCGCCAACAGGGTCATCCAGCCTTTGTAGTGATGTTTTTTGCCACAAACCGGCGAGCAAACGAGCCGATCATTTGGCAGGTTTCCTTTGGTGGCACAAAAAACAACACATGATTTGGCGTAGATGAAAGACTGAGGAGGGAGAGCCCTGTTTGTTGGCTGCAGGGTGTTCTGTTTTGTGGCTGTCTTGAGTCACATAAAACTCTCATGCCGCACAAAAGCATACTAGATGAGCTTCTAGGTGTCTAACTCAGCAAAACAATATCGCCTTGTGGTTTCAGCTCCAAGTGAACGGCTGGTCACAAAACCGGCCAGCTTCCATAAACCCAGTTTCAAACGGACCTTACCCCCCCCCCCCTCCAGCAAACAAGAAGCAGAACACATCCATCAAAACGGGTAGCCTTTCTGCACCCAAGTCGATCTTACAGAGGCATGGAAGTCCCGGCTCGAACGCGAGCAAGGTTTCACTGCTGTGAAGAAGCAGCTCAGGTAGGTCAGGGCTCCAAGTTCAGATCACCCCCTGCCCGCAACATGTCTCTGACCGAATCTCGCGAAGAGACCTTTTGGAAACAACGGGCGTTTCCATTAACCTACAAAAGGGAAGACCTTTTGCTCATGGAGCAACCCAGTGAAGATATCTTTTCCGGGTGGGTTCAGAACCCACGTGAAGAGGGGTGCAATTCTTCTGGCAGGGTCGGGCTGGATGGATCCTTTGAATGGTTTTCGCCTGTTTTACTCTGTGTTTGCCTTGAAGGAATGACACTTGCTGTTTTTTTTTGTGACTTCAAAAGCGGAATATCAGTAGGGTCCACAGGATGTATTTTCGAGCCGTATGCAACATATTTGGCGAATGAACCCGGAAGAACATGTATTCTCATGCATTGAACATGGAGCTCAAATGACTCTTGCAAAAATATTGCGAAAATATTGTGAACGACGACGTAAAATTATGATGCTTGTTCGGTTGTGTGAATTAGCCAAATTAATTAAAGGAATCTTCTGAATTTTGGAATTAATATACATAATATTTTGAGATTGATTGATATTGTTATTTGGGGGAATTAAATTTACATTTTGAATTTAAAATATATGATTGTTTAGTATAGCTTAGATTTGAAATAATGATGGGAAATTATTTGAAAGAATAAACATTTAGTATTTGAATTATATTTTTATTATTATTTGATTTGATTTTTTTTAATTAAATTATTTAATGTTTTTTAAATAATTAAAATAAAAAAGAAAAACAAATATATATTAATTATATATATAATTATATTATATATAATAATAATAATTATAATAGTATATTTAATATTATATTAATTTTAGAGATCTTTTATTATTTTGGAGAATGGTTGAAAAACCGGGATGAAGATAATGAAGTATTAAAAAGAATAATATAACAGATAATGATATAGAAATTATAATTATATAAATAATAACAATAATACTTAATTAAATTAATACTTTTGAGATATTGAAAATCGAAATAATTTCGATATTTATAGTTTTTTTTTAAAAAAAACATATAAAATTATAAAAATGTAGAATTATAGAGACAAACATAAAGATGGATAACCAAAACTCACAAACAAACAAATAAACAGCTACAAATAAACAGACAAATAGATAAAACAAACAAATAAACAGAAAAACAAATAGACAAATAGATAAATAGGCAAACAAACAGAAAAACAAAAAACATATAAACAAACAAAGAACGAAAGAAATAGAGATAAAGAGAGAGAAAAAGATAGACAAATAGAGAGATAAAGAAATAAAGAATTAGAGAAACAAAGAAACAAAGGGATAAAGGGACACAGAGACGAAGAGGCAGAACAACAAAGAGACAGAGAGAGAAAAAGATAAAGAAAGAAAAAGAGAAAAAGAGAAAGACAAAGAGAAGATAACAGAGCAGAGATAGAAAAAAACAAAGAGAGAAAGAAAAATAGAGAGAGAAAAAAGAGAAAGGAAAATAGAAAAAAGGAGGAATAAAATATATAATATATTCGAGAATTTTCGATACGGATAAAATTTCTATTTTTTTTTGAATCTATTTTATTTTCTTATTTCCCGAAAATATATTTTATGAAAAATATTATTTTTTTAAAAAACATAATAATTAAATTATTTAGAAATTTGTTTATATTAAAAAAATACAAATTTAGGTTATAGAGAAAAAATTAACATGACTATAATTATTCGTAATATACATAAAAAATCGTAATACTATTATAATGATTTTATATAATACGAAAAATATAATTCTAAATCCATAATGATTTATAAATTAGCTCTTTAATAACAAATATATATATATATTATAAATTTAGTATTAATATATTTTATATATATATAAGAATTCTTTATTATATATACCTAATAAAAAATAATATATATATATCTCTCTCTTCATATATATATATATATTATATTTATAATATATAAATATATAAATACTAGAGACACCAATACAAATTCATAGCAAAGCTAAACAACAAAACAATAAAGACACAAAAGGCAAAGCAAGGCAAAACAAATAGGCAAACAGAAATACATAGATAGAGACAAACAAAAGCAAGCAAGCAGAGGCAAACAACCAAAGACAGGCAGGTAGGCATAAGTAAGCAGATAAATAGAGATAAATAATCAGAGGTAAATTAATAGAGGCAACCACATAGAAATAGGTAGGCAAAAATAGTCAAACAGAAATAAATAGGTAAAGGTAGGTAAAAACAGACAAAAAGGCAAGCAAGCAGAGGCAAGCAGAGGCAAGCAGAGGCAAGTAGAGGCAAGTAGAGGCAAGTAGAGGCAGCCAAAGGCAGACAGAAATAGATTATAAGTAGAGGCAAGCAAAGACAGGCAAAAACAGACAAAGGGGCAAAGACACGTAGCAGGAAGCAGGCAGGCAATAGGCAGTAGGCAGGCAGCGGCAAACAGAGGCAAACAGAGGCAACCAGAGACATAGGGGCAAACAGAGGCAGGTAGGGGCAAACAAGCATAGGCAAGTATATTCAGGGGCAGGCAGGCAAATAGAAACAGGTAGACGTAAGTAGGCGCATAGAGGCAGGCAGTGGCAAACAAACAAGCAGAGATAAGAAAAAATAAACAGAAACAAATAAATAAATAGAGATAAATAGAAATAAGCAAATCAGCAAAACAGACAAGATAGATAAGGTAACCAAAGCAGGCAAGCAAGACAAGCAAAGCAAACAAAAAAGCAAGCAAAAAGACAAACAAAGAAGCAACCAAAACAAGTGAGGCAAGCAAAACAAGCAAATCAAATAAACTAAGCAAATAAAACAAACAAATAAAATAAGCAAGTAGACAAACAAAGCAAATAGATAAAGCAAACAATCAAAAAATACAAAATAAATAACATAAACACAATATATAAAACATATAAAATAACCAAAATAATCAAATAACATATACACAATAAATAAAACAAATCAAAATAATCCAAAACAAATAAACAAATATATAAAAACAAATAAAAAAACAATGAAATATATAAACAAACAACTAAACAATCAAATAAATATAAATAAATAACAATAAACACATAATAACAAATAAACAATAACAAATAAACAAAATAAATAACAACAAGCAAAGAAATTAACACATATATAAAAACCAAAATAAACAAAAAAAGGAAAAAAAACAAACACACAAAAACAAACACACAAAAACAACAAAAAAATATATATATAAAAAACAACAAAACAAAAACACACACAAAAAAAAAAAGAAAACGAAATCACAAAAATTTCGAGCAATATCAAATCGAACAAATCCCCTAATTTCCCAAAAAATTAACCTAATATATTTTCGGGAAATCATCAAATTCTACAAATAATTATGGGGAAAATTTCTATAAATCTAAAAATGCAATCATCGAAAATAACGAGGTTTAAATATAACCGTTCGCCACAAATACGATAATACATCTATAATGTTTTTTTTGCGAAATACGACCTCGAAACCGTACCGATTTATAGGATAATTTAACCAAATAATATCAGTAGCCCAAGACAGCGGCATTAAATATATTCCATTCGATTATATTTATTCGATGTTCTGAGATTCGCCCTTCATCTGGTCGGCTTCACTTAAAGTAAGCCAATTCCTTTGCACCGTCTTATGAGTGAACATTTCGCTCAACTCCAAGGTGCACGCCATCTTAGCGTTGGTGACACTGGGGACCCAGGGGTCCAATTAGTCGCAATTTGTCAAACGGAGGCAGCAAACGAATGGTCATACACAAAAACTATGTGCCAGTGTTTGACAAACTGGGTACTGGACGCCTTTTTTGGAGGCTCGATACCCTTTTGGGGTTGCTTAAAACGAAAAGGAAACTATTATTCTTGAACTCCCGCGAACCGGGGCACATTGGTTTCTCTTTAGCATATCCGGGGTTGACGGTGGAAAATCGGGGGCTCCGAAAAACGACTCTCCGGGCATGTCTAGCGCAATGATTGCATGGTGCCTCGATGGGGAAGTCCAGATGCCGCACGCGATAGTTTGGTTCCCTGAGCGACAGCAGACTGGTCAAGGCAAGCTTTGACTGTGCACTGGCTAGCGGTTGATCCCTGCCTATAAGTTAAACTTTTGGCGGGACATGTCAAAAAGATAAAGCGTATGGCTGGGAATTGAGTCTCTTTTTTATACGGTTTTGGGTAGACCATTTTAATACCAGGGTTTGCTTGCGACTCAAATGGTGATGTATAGATATGTATTACAAGAAATATCAAGAGTAAGTTATGCAAACATTGAATTCATCCAGAATGCCGGTTAAATGTGGAACATATTCGTTTGTGATAAAAGGGATTGTTTTGATCAACGTCGAGCTCCGGATGTATCATCTGACATTATTGCGCATTCTTTACAATACCTGCCAAACCCCGAGTAAAGTGCATCATAGCGAGGCTCGCCATGAAATCAAATGGATGGAGGCATGATACATCCATCGCCATCTTAGGCCCACTGTGTTGGCCTCCCCAAAATGGAGCCTAATGACACAATTCTGGTCAAGGAAAAAAGTGTGGTGCGAATACATGTGATTTGACAAAAAGGGAAGGTCCAAGGGTAGCTGAGGTCGGTAGAGACACCTCTGGCCATCTCCGAAAACGCAGATGCGAGCCATGCAAAAGTCGAAGCGAACTACGCCGGCTATTTGTTTGGCGTGTGCCCAATGTGCCCACCCTAAACCAACCCTGAGGCCACAAGGTGGGGAGCTAAGCCAACCGGAACCAACCTTAAACCAAACGCAACCACAGGACCATGACCATTGAAAGGGGGGCTGAGACGGGGAGGGGTGCTCAACCCCGCTACCTTGTATACATTGGTGCATTGTGATGGAGGATCGTTTGATGGACTGATTGGAAAGGTGATTTAAATTCAAAGACAGTAGGCTTAAACATGTACATGTTGCAGTTTGTTTAGTAAAAAGTAACATTTGAGGAAACCTGGAGTTGAGTTGGTCCCTGCTAAAGATTAGACCATGTGTTTGGTTGTTGTGATGGTACATGCCGAGGACACATGCAATCAGGATGGGGGCTGCGAAACTTATTGGATGAGTTTAGATCACATAGCTGACTGATTTATAATTCAGTGCTGCATTTAGATAATTCCAAGTTTGGTTTATAAACTATTGACTGTTGGGGAGAGGTGTGGCAACTGTTGAGATGATTGTTTGTCGGGGTCTGGCCAGAGAACCCCCAGCCCCCCTCTCCCCCGACCCCTCAAGAGTTGCCACGACGCCCTCCCTTGCAAGCAAACAAGTTGGTCACTCAATCCAATCAAGAAGACCATTGGTTTACTGCGTGGCAAATGGGGACTTTTGTTCGATCCATCTAGAATCTGGAGATCTGAATCCTCAACATGGCCCCAAAACAATCGACTGCAGAGCCCGAAGTCCTCCAAAATGTCAAAAATGACTCCTTTCCACATAGGATTTTTGTCCAATTGAACTGGAACTTTGAATATAATTTAGTAAGGACGTAGTTCACCAGAATTTCAATATTCAGTGAGAATTTGAACAGGATTTCCTTTTCAAATAGGAGTTAAAGGAAGTATATTTGAATTGGCCTTTGAACATACTCTTAAATTGGAATCTCTGCCCAAATCTATTTGGGTTACAATCTGGCACAAACAGTATTTTCTGACACGGAAACCAGTTCAACCAGAATGGCAAGTTTGAATTTCAGCCAAGTGGGACCTAATGAGTAAAGGTTTCAAACGGAATGTCTATTTTTCATTCGTATTTCCTTTGAGATAGGATTTGGATTCCCATTACTGTTGTTAAAGCTGAGCCTTCATCTTCAAGGCTTTGTGCTTCAGAGCTCTAAGCTGCAACAAACCAATGTTTTCAAGCAAAGCCACACTTGAATCAAAAAAAGAGAGGGGTGACCATATATGTCTACACACTACGCAAAGCTTCTTGTTCTAAAGGCGGGGGGGGGGAGCACATGGTAGAAGGCAACGCCTGGTCCTTTTCTGGCGCGCTTCTCCGTCACCAAACTTCCCCGCCCAAACCACTACGCGCCCCCAAAAATGCCTCCGTTGTAATTTTCTCCGCCCGCATTCTTTCAAAATGGAAAATCGGGGCCGCAGGTTTCACGTGCTAGGGCTTTTTCTGACTGGGCCGAGTTTGTCAACCAACCTTGAAAATTGGAATGAAGCCCGCTTGTTAAACACAACAAGAGGCGGCGGCGACGATTGGTCCTGGAAACATGTACTCCAGGGTGGGGCTGGCTTCTAGGAAGGACGGCGCCACTGCGTCCGGATCCACACCTTTAGAGACGAGTTCACGCGTCGGCTGACCGGGAGCCGCCATGTCAGCTTGCCGGCGGTCGGGCGCCTCGTCTTGCTCTTCCAGCGGCAGCTGCCGGAAGGCGTCGAGCTTGCGCTGCAAAGCGGCCGGTCGACAATGAATGGAGCAGGGTTTCTAAGGTACATCTGGCCCCCGGATCGGGGGACCTTAAGCCCACTCCCCTAGACTTGTTTTTGGATGCCACTCGAGATTTGATGCGAGGCGCTTCTGCTGGACCATCGGGAGGTGCGAGACGGCAAGGCAAAGGAGCGACCACGCAGGGTGCTCACTGGAGCGCGACTCTGCGGGAGCTTTCGTCGCTGCAGCTGACTACACTTCTCAAGGCGACAAGGCCGGCGAGGGCGCGTGCTCCAAGAACCAAAGGAAGCCGTGATAAGCTGTGTCAACCCTTTCACTAAGCATTTTCCCGTCTGACTGGGAGTCAACCGCCTCTGTGTCAAATCTTGAGCCGCGCTACGAGACCATGCTGGAGGAGAGTTCGCGTGATTTGTCGGTCGCTTCCACCTGAGCTTCCGGCATCGCCCAGCTCCGGACACTGCGGGCGCGCTGGGGGACTCTGAGCGAGGGACGTGCTGAGAGCCCGCGACGGCAGAACGCTTGTGGCGTGCGGGTGGCGGCTGCGAAGGCGCTGCGGGTCGGAAGCGCCTCCTTCCCGTCGCCCGCAACCCCAGTGGAGGCTAAGCTCTGAGCCGATTTCGGCGTTTCCACTTGAAACCCAAGCGAGCACGCTAGCGCGAGTGCCCAGATTGTAGATGCATGGGGTGTTTTTTGGTGCAAGGACGCAAAATGAGCTCCAAATGATTGCCGTACACGCACTGCATTCCTTCCTTGCGAGGGGTCTGCAGGAGCCAAGTCTGGTGGGTCGTGTGGAGATGCTCCATGCCGACCCGTCCACCCGATACCGAGAAATCTCCGGTGACAATCCAGTTTGCTGGGCTCAGGGTGGGAAATTCACACCTGGACCTTGAAGCTACCAACTTGAAAAGGGCTCACAATTCCCAGAACTTGGAAGACTAACTGATCACACCCCGGCCCCGAAATTTGGTAACGCAAGGTTTCCTCAAAATTGTTCAGGACTTCGTCGGAGGAAACCACGTATTTTTTTGGGAGAGAAGTTTGTTGTTGGCATTGCTTTACAGGCAAGATATGTTGGTTTCATATTGCCATGTTGAATAGCAACAACAATGAATTTATAACCTTTCCATTTGGTTGCTGCAAGCCACCTCTGCGTCTGGCCCTGCAAAGCATCCATCATCTGCCCCACGATTCAAGTAAAGCAACCACCTTGGTATTGGGAGGGGGTCTTAGCATTTAGCATATATATATATATATATGCACATAGCCTTATTGAAAAGCGAGTCTGTATTTGGGGCTCTGGCGCACTATATGTTGCCTTTACAGGGGGTCAATGGGTCCTAAACGCATCTCCAGAGTCCAGCCAAGCTGCAGTTGGCACGACCGCACCTTCATTCTCCGACTCACTGATATCCCCCAGCGCTCGGCCTGTCCCGCTCAAAGCAGCACTATCCCCTTGGAACCTCCCGGAACCTCCCGGAACCTGCCGGGAACCTGCCGGGAACCCTCCCAGAACCTGCCCTGCCAAACCCAGCGGATTGATCGCTGGTGCTAGTCAACCTTGAATGTTCAATTGGATGTAGAATGGGAAATGGTGTCCGGATCAGAAAGCAATGGTGTCCACTACCGGAAAACCACAAGAAGCCTCCTTGCTCCAAATGCCCGTTGATCAGCTTGCTTTTTCTTTTACACCAATCATACCCATAAACAAGTGTGTATATCTGGAGGATGGAGCCTAAGGGGTTGCAAGGTGAAGCGATCAGCGATCGATCATTGCCCGCAACTTGTACAAATTTGCACTTGCCTGTAGGTAGCCTTTCACCGAACGTCCGTTTGTGAAACCATCACGGTGAGGGGGACATTGTGTCAAGCCTTCCAGCTTCACTACTCAAGCTCTAGAGGCCTTATGACGTTGTAGCACTCTGCATTCTCACACGAGCAGCTTCCTGTACGAAGGAGTGCACAATGTGTGCTTAACCTGCCTGGACCTCGCCAGACAAATTGCATTTAAATGCATTGCAACCTGCTCAGTTGCCTGCCTGTACATGAATTGTGGGAAACTTGCCAATCAAAAGTTCGCTCAGCAGGTGCTTGCCTTCGGCACTGTCACCCCTGCACATTGGCTGGTCTCCTGATTCATTTTGGCGACACAGTTTAAGCAGCTTTGACCACACCAGGAGCCCCAAAAGCAAGCCCACTTGCAGTGGTCTGCGCCATACTTTGCCGAATCCACAAAGCAGCTTGCGCAGCTTTGACGGATCCCGGCACTCGACTCAACACATGAGACATAGTTGTTCGAGTTGAACGCACACCAAAAAAGATACGCATCCTGAAAGTTAGGACACATGCGCATTCATGTTGTATGTCTGCGTGCACGCGCGTCGTTTCTGATGGTAACGCACAACTGGGGCCTTAACTCCCCCAATATCTTAGGTGGCTTCCCAAACAACCAAATCCCATCAAACAAATGTCATCATGACCTGTGGTCGATTGAAGTTACCCACTTGGGTATGTGCCAAACTGGGGGTCAACCAAAATTCCGGGCCTTCCTTTCATTTGCCCGCCAAGAAACCCAGACCGACACTAAAGCCATCTGAAGCCCGAACCCGGGCCCAGGAACAACAAGCAACTACATCTGTCAGCCCGACTCGGGTACCTTCCTTTCAAAAACACACGCCCACATAGCTGGCGGTGTTTCCCTCGCCCCATTTCCCTTTCACCAATCCCCAAACCTCTGGCTACTGGGACACCTGCCATCTTGCTCGTCTCGTGTGGTAAACCAGGCCATCCCTGCTCATTTGTTGAAACCGTGCGTATCCTTTTGGGAAAACACATGGCCCCAGTAGATTGTGAAACAACCAGGTCATCCAGTGCAATCTATTTTTTGCCAAAACCACCAAAAAGCACACCTATCATCGCGAATCCTGTCATTTCCCTTCAACCAGTCCCAAAGCCTCAAAAACCGCACACACACACAAATGGAATACAACATAGCTATGGCCTAGTTCGCTTCGAATCTGGCCCACGATCTCTTCGCAGGCATCCTTGAGCAGGGCCTTGGTGATTCGGATCTGCTCCTCGGTCAACAGCAATGACCCCCGCGCGAAGCGGGGAAACCCATAACAAAGAAACGGCAATGAAAAAAATCAAAGGAAAGGCAAGGAGACCAAAAGAAACGAATGGAATTACAGGAAATCAAAGGAAAGACATGGAAACCAAAGGAGAAATCATTGGGAAAACACAATTAACGACAATTGGTCCTTGAAGGGAAACCAAAGGAAGGACACCGTTTCGACCCAAAGCAACCCTGATCATTTTGTTGAGCCAAACCCCAGGTCCAACCCACAACCCATTCTGGGTGACCCGTTGAATGGGTTCCAACAAAAGGATGCGAAAAGCAAGTTGACATGATTGGCCTTTGGTGCAAGCCTTCTGGACGTGTTTGCTAGTAACTGCTAGTATCCGTTCTGTTCATTGGCCAGGCTGTGCAAGAAAAGTGTCAACTGCCTCCCACATCTTACAGGACGAGGGGTGACTTCCCGAGACAGGGTCCACCTCCTGAGCTTGCCATCAGAATCGGCTTCGCTTACCGCCCTTTGATCGCAAAAGCATCCGGCGCTTTTAAAGGATAAACCGCGCCCAAAAGTCGGGCGTGGCTGATGCAACAGCCTCCATGCCCAATACCATCATAAACCCAATACCATCGCAAATCTCAACGCACCAAAAAGAGATTTGGAGGGCCTTGCTTTGGTTTTTAAAGGTGTTTTGTTAAGCGATCCCACAATACCCCCAACCAGAGTGCCCCCGCGATAAGCGGTCATCTTGTAGGTACTTCTCAACATACAGGAACGCACAAATGGGGTGCTTCCTCTTGGTTTCCCTTGAAAACCATCCAAACAGGCGTCCACCATTTGGTTGTCTCCTTTGAGGCTATCTTCTTTTTTGTGGTCTCAATGGGAAGCCAACAGGAAAACCACCATTTTGGGGTCCACAAAACAGACACACACACACACACACATTGTGAGGTGCTTTCCAAGCGTCTTGGCAATCCTTCACCGTGGCAGGGTTGGAGCCTCGCATGCTCAGGATGGCCTCGAGGGGTGGTGGCAACAACTGGTAAAACAACCAGACCTGATTCGTGTGAGAATCTCAATGGGTCCCGGCACCAATAGGTGGGCACCAACAGGTGGGGATTTGCTTATGCCCACAAACCACTTTTGAGGTTCTAACTCTTGAGGTTCGTAGCCATTCGGCCCAACAGACTTGAAAAGGAGGTGTTCAAAACAAATCGGTGTTTCAACCATGGCTTGCTTGCACAGGGGATCGCCCCACCCTGGGTCGCCTCGACCAAGTCTGCGAACCTCATTTGCCCATCCGTCGCAAAGTGCTCGAAGATCACATCGATCATATCGGCGAGCACCACGATATCCTCAGAAGCGTACAAATCCGGCCGGACGGATCCGCCCAACACTTCGCATGTGACAACTTGATGCTTGACAAGGAACATGAATGAGCACCAAAGAGGCAAACGCTTAAAAATCGTAAGCAAAGTCTGGCAATGAGAAAACGGGGGCCCCCACAATGGCTTCTGCTTCGGACACCGAGCTCGCACAAGCATTGGAGAGGCCATCTTGACACCAACACTGGAGGCCACAACAGTATAGTTTTTAAAGGGTGTGTGCGTCAAAATAGGGATCCCCTCCCAAAAAAACAAACAACGTGTTCCTGTTGGTTTCAACCTGAAAATATCAAGCTGAGTAAAGCCAAGCGTCCCCACCACAACCTCAGCGACGGTTTGACTGCTTTCACAACATAACGTTGGGGATATGCACTCTCTCTCTCTCTCTCTCCACCAAGGCCGTCGGGCGTGGTCGAGACCCGTAAATGGTAAATGGGCAACCCTGTCTCAGGAATCCTTCCAGTGGGTGAGCCTTTGAACACCAAGAGGAACCTGTTGCCCTACGAGTTGAAAAGAAAGGGGCGAACATTTGGAAAAGAGAGCCGGGATGTTGGCATTTGAAGACCACAAACAATTGATGTCTCTCTTGGAACCGATCCCCGCGGGGAACAACACTCGCGTAGTGCCACAACAAACAACCCTACGTTTGAGTCTGGCCCATGATAAGTGAATGGCCTCAAAATGTAACAAGTCACATCAAAAGAGATTCTGCAGGGTTTCCACTATTTCCCCGGAAAGACCACCCCTTTCCACTGGAAACTCACAGGGCCAAACAGGAGATCCTTCTCAGACCAAGGGAGAAATAGAGCTGGACCAGCTATGAGCCAACCAAAAGGAACCCCTATGAACTAACTACAAGGAAAGCCGTTGTGCACTTGGGGGTCCAAATCCCTATTTTGATGTAGCCCAAAATACACCTGCATGAACCCCCACAACCGCGAATCGCAAGACTTCGACTTCGACTCGTGCGTCGCGGGGCTTTGCACCGCCCGGAGCACCCCAGGCTCAAGCATGAGATTCTGGAAGTCGGACCTTAGTGGCTTTTGTCAGACCATTGCTTCATTTCATGCGGATGTTTCCCGCGTTCTTCCTGAACAGACACAAAACCCATGGCGGGCCTGAAAGGGATTGTAGTAAAAAGGGTTCTAGAAGGCTTGCCCCCAAACACAAATGGTGTCCTTTCAAATGCGCAAAAGATATGATTGCCAATGATTTTCCTGTGGCAGCCTTTTAGAAGCTAAAAGAACTTGTGAAACGAACTGGTCCCCAAATAAGCAAAATAACTATGTCATGTTGAATTAGACACCCCCAACATGCCGCAACACTACCAACAGTACCATCACCAACACAATTTACCACACCCACAGAATTGAGGGAGCCACACATCAACAGAATTGGTACCGAGCTGCTGGGAAAAGAAGCTGTCCTCCTTGTACCCGGCTTTCCGCAACTCGCTCCGCATCTGCGAGGCCACCTGCAGCACGCTCATCGCCTCCTGTCGACGCCGAGAGAATCGATTGGGAGTACATGCCTCTTGTTGCGTGGTTTTTCAGTTCACAAGAAAGGATAGCTAATGTCCCCCAGCTTCATGCTTCATTTGTAACTGCAAACTATGGCCAATGTTATGATAAAAGCAGCTGCGCGTGTTACGGCTCAAAATCTACGACAGCCCTGCAAACCTTACCAGACGGTTGTACAAAACTTCGCGTGTGCAAAGTCTTCATACGTGCACTCTCCAACTCAAGCAGCCTTTCCTTCTCTGTTGCAGCAATTACAGACACCACATCCACCAGCACCCCGACAAGCATGTACCTAAGCTCGCTCGGGCAACTAATTACATGTCAGCTGACAACGTGCAACATATTCTTCAGTCTTGCACCTTTTTTGCACCAGGTAGCATAAGCGTCATCGACACCAAAGTAACGAAGAAGATGATCAGTGGCCACAACCACGGATCGATATTCGTGACATCGCCTTGGCCCAACACATCAAGCTGAAACTTGTCAACGGCTAATATGTATACAGTATCTTCCTTGTATCTCGCTATATATATGTATGTATATCGAGGCTCTTCAAATATCTCAGGCTATATGTTGTGGATCCCGTAGTTTGGAGCCAAGGGAACACCTGGAATCAACAACAGTCCTGGACTTGCACAGTGCGCAAATGGGCAGTGACTTTCCTTTTCACACGGACCATGGACCCCATTGAAGGCCTCTTTTATTGTCCATCTTTGGATACGGATCTTAAAGATCGTTCAACCATAGCCATTGCTGCTTTGTGAAAAGGAGGTCTGGAAAAAATGGCACATCCGTCTTTCAAAAAAATGGCATGCGGTCAAAACTCAATAAGGGGCCACGGCCACGGTTCCAGTGTACCAGAAATTTTTATAGTCGTCTAAATGTCGTAGCCACCTCTACAGGGCTTGCCATAATTCCCCTCTAAATTATCCCACCAAAAAGGTATTAAATTGAAATTGGTGAAAAAGGTGATGCTTAAAATTAACCAAGAACAGTCTAGAGAGCCTTGTCTACTCGGGCGCAAAAATCAAAACAACTGGCAAAAAGTTCATGGCGGCCAGGTCACTGACCAGCGCCGCGTTGTCAGGGAACACGCCGTTGAGCAGCAACTTGTTCCTGGTTGCCAGAATTTGACCCTGCAAGAATATAAATTGAAACTGTGATTTTCAATGAACTGGGGAACCTTCTGAACATTTGATGGTGGCTATAAGTGTCCGCCTAGACTTGTCCAAAGGGTTGCTGATTCAAATGCAAGGCCGTTTGTTTCTAGCATCGCCAAACACTGGGAAGTTTGGTTGACAGGGGAAATGAAAGATGCCACAACGGCAGGTGACACAATTGGTTGCTGGTAGAGGCAACAAGTAAAATATGTTTGCCAAACCTCATTACCCAGCTGCCACCATACCATAGCCAAGACGAACAAATCCTGGCCTATCCTGAGGCGAAGGGACCAACCAGGGCACTCAAAATGGAGCTCGGTGTTCCTGCCCGTTTGCCTCTAACCAAGGTGAAGGGGGGACCCTCAAAAAAGCATGCACGCAAACAAACAAAGGCTGAACAACCTGTTTGCTGGTTGAAAGGGACCAGGACACTTTTAAAAAAAGGATCCACAAACCAATGAAAGGAAATCTAAACAACAAAAAGGAAACACTGGGTGCTCTTCCCTTGAGCAAAAGGGCTAACCTTTGTCTGATGGGAAAAAAACCAGATGCTTCCAAGTCCAAGGGGCGAATCGCTCACATGAAAGACCAGCCAGTGGACCCGAAAAATGAGTGGTGTCGCTTTGGTTCCCCTCTAAAGACCAAAGGGGGGCAAAGAAAGGACATGCAACAACCAAAACCTAAACCAAACAACCAAAAAGGCAAGACACAAGCAAGAGCGACCAAAACAACCAAACACAACCAAAAGCAACCAACAGCAGCCAAAAGCAACAAAAACAACAATAAACAATAACCAACAGCAACCAAACAAAAACAAAGTAAGAACAAAACCAAATGGTTTGCTAAGTCTGACGATGGCTCATGGCCAGTGGCACCGTCTCCGAGAATTGGTTCTCGCTCCCATCAGTCAGCTGCCTTGGTATTTCCGATCTGAAACGCGACGAGAAGTCTGACGCCAAATAAGGCATTGTCTCAAATTAGTGGGTGGCATTTGCAGGGAAACCAAAACAAGCTGCCAAAATGGGGGATGGGTATCCCTATTTTGACACATACGAAAATGGATGTGTGTGTGTGTGTGTGTCTGTGTGTGTCTGTGTGTGTCTGTGTGGTCTGTGTGTGTCTGTGTTCTGAGGGTAGGGTGGTTTTACAGGAAAACCAGGAGGAAACCACCAAACATGGGAGGTACTCATATTTTCACACATACGCAAATGTGTGTGTGTGTGTGGGGTACGGGTACCCTTTTCAGGGTGGTGTTATAGAGAAACCAAAAGGAAAACCACCAAACATGGGAGGTACTCACATTTTCACACATGCCCAAATGGGCGTGGTTTGCTCTTTTTGAGTGAACCTCCTCTGGAAGAGAACAACAACTAGGTCCTCCAGTAGACAGGTTAGAATAAGGGTACCCTTTCTTCTGTATTCTATTTTAGGCGGGGAACCTCCCCCAAAAAAGGGTAAATGGGCACTACTCTGGGACCTAGACAAGGAAGCCTGTGCCATGGGCTTGCCGAGTTTTGAGACTGACATAAAGGGGCCGTTTTTCGGCCAAATTACCCAAGGTGTGTCCGTGTCCCATGTAACTTTGCAGTGGCCTGAGTGGCCAAGACCTCGTACTGCAAAATACCCACCCAGCAATTGAAGAATGAAGAGGGTCGCGGCAAACACTTGTGGGCCATCCCCATACTAAACTTCAACTATTGAGGTGTTGATTGTTGCTGAGTCTCTTGGTACTTGTCACAACCTCTTGCATGAAGCTGCTGGCAAAAGCGAGGTGACAGGGGGCCTGCACTCACCTCTATGCTGCCATGTTGCCGAAAAAGCACGGCAAAAATGTAGACGATCATGCCTTAGGTCGAAGATTGATACCCCCTACTCCAGATACCCGCTTTTTTAGGACCCATCTCAACACAGACAAGCACGGCCGTATTTACAACGGAAAACTGTTTTTCAGAATCTCCCCAAAAGGAGCAAGGTATGTGGTGTAGGGGGTGTGCTTCACATTGAGGAGCCTCCTTTGGCGGGTAAAGTGTTGAACAAATCATGGTTCCCTTTTGTATCGGACAAACAAGTACACCGAATAACTTCGATTTCCCTTGTGGTTCCCGAACAAAAAATGCGGTTTCCCTTGCGATTCCTTCATCAGGCATGTGGGTGTTCTTGTCAGAGTTGATTCGCTTAACCCAGGGGATACCACCCGAAAGTGAGGCTTTGCCTCTAATGGGACGCACCTGTTAACCAGGGTCTGCATCCCGGGTCACATGTCATTGAATTGTGCTCCTTGAGCTGCCATTTGACAAACACAGCGGCACTTTTAATCTGCCGAGGTTCCCCACAGAAGGAAGAATACACCGACGGATCTCGAGGCAAAGCGCAGTCCTGCCATTGAGCAGGCCGTGCAAAAAGCCGACCGGCTCACACCGCTGGAAGCAATTTTCTCTCTCTTAGGAGTTTAGCATGGATGGGTCAAAATGAGCCCAATCCAACCCTTTCATTGAAGAGAGGCCAACCCTTGAGAGAGGCCAACTCTTTTGGACCCTTGAGAGAGGCCAACCCTTTCAGTGCAGCACCCGCAGCCGATGGCCTTTCACGATGATGGCCATCTCAGGCACAAAGCGCAAGAGCCGCGCCATCCGCGACAGTCTCACCAGTTTGACCATCTTTACCTTGAGTCACAGGCTGAATGCGTTGAAATTCGTGGTAGGAACCCCTGGTTTGTTCATTCACCGGTTGCCGCTAAATTATGGGAAAGCCGCCGAAAGGGACAACATGGCCATGGGTTCATATAATGGACACATCTCATGGCTAAACTATCCCCACTTTCAGTCAGGAAAACCTGGGGCCCTCCCAATCCTCCGAATACTTCCCCGGTACATGCAACAGGAACATGAACAAGAGTCCTTTGTGGATATTATGCATCCCCTTTCATTACTTTTCGGGCAGGACGCGAAATTCATGACTCCCATTCAAGCTGCCACATTCACACATGCCTCCCTTCACCCGATTCCATCCATCTCCCTCTCTCTCTTTCTCTCCCCCTCTCAGGCATTTACCTGTAACTTCTGCACGCACTCCAAAACTTGAAATGATGACAACGGAAGGGGCTTTCACCATGAGCTCGCTTTGCTACCGGATTGGCGAGCTCGTCATAAAGCATGCAGATATCTGCGCCAGTATCTGCGGCCGAAACTCTACCCGGAGGATCGTGAGGTTCGCAGCCCCGCCAGCTGTAGAGGTTTGAGATATGAGCAATACCTGGGTTGGTGCTGTTGGAGGATACCCTTGTCAAGGGCGGTGTTTACAAGTTTGGGGGTCCCATTCTGACGCGTAATCAGCCAGTCTCTGGATTCTCATCTCGAGACAAAGAGGTGCCACAAAAGCAGCCTCACCCCACGTACATCTGGGGCTTCCCTGAAAAAGGGGGTCACCCCTCGTATCGGTTCGCAACATCGGATCAGATCTGAGGATCCTTGCCAAGGGACAGCGGGAATGATCCAGGTCTCCACGATCATCAGAGCCACCAGGAACAAATCAAAGACAAACCACCCGTCCCGCACGGCATCCTGCTTCTGGCGAAATGCCCCGAAGCGAATCCTCGGAAAACTGACTGACGTCAGTCACTGGGCGCCTCTCAAAGATGAGAGAATGTCATTGCGTTATTTTTCTTCTTCTTCGTTTTTTTTTTTTTTCTCTCTCTCTCTCTCTCTGTGTGTTCTCCCGTAGCTCAGTGGCACAAGCTCGAAAGTGAAGTAGGCGCAGAAAATGTTCTCCGCAATAATAAACACCGGCTCTGAATCCTCAGCTGCAAACCTTCCCCCGGGCTGAGAGGCCTAAGAACCTTCACCCCATAACATAAAAAAAACAAAAAAACAATTGCAACCCCTTTGTTGCTTGCTTTATTTTGAAGGGAAATCCAAACAACTGGCAAAAAAAGGCACCACTACGCAGCGGAGGTCTGCGATTCTATCTATCTTCTTCCGTTTCATTGGCCCTTCCAAAGGCGCTCCTGGACCCATAGGTTTGCAAAGGAAGAAGCCGGAGGGGTCCGCGCAGAAAAGTTGCGACTTTTTATGACTAAATGCAAAAAAAAAGAGAGAAACTGAATCTCATGAAATCTGACCAAAGGTACCTCCGGCTTGCAAAGCTGCCTGGCATTGGAAACTATTTCCCAAGTCCAGAGCTGGTGGGCTTTCACTCCTCATTTGGAATCCAAATAAGCAACTGCTAGTCCTATCTTCTCCCATGGTGCCCGGGAAATTGAGCAGTGTCTGACCCCTTAACCTGGCTTTTGCGAGGGTCAAGGGGTCACGGGGTCAGGGGGTCAGGGCAGCTGACACACGACTCCTCTCATTGCCTTCTGGTTGCCAGTGATGGCCTTGAACACATAGGCCAAGATTCAATCAGCATGGCGGTCTTGTTGTAGTCGGTGTCAATTCCAATCCACAAGGCATTCAGCACCACCATGGCCAAAGACATTTGCTCAAAGACAGAGCCTGACCCAATCCGCTTCCAGTGGTGGCAAGCTTGGATGCTGAACCCATTTAGCAGCTCATAACTATAGTTTAAGTGGGACAACGTGACAAAGGGTTCTTGACGAAGAAACCCATGGCTGTGCCCTAGGAAAAGAAATTGGCACCGCGAGGCCCAGGAAACGCTTCTCGGGGTTCTCAGCAGGAGCTGCAGGCAAGCTGCTCTTAGCAATGTACTGGACACAGCCAGTGTCATGATACTTGTCGAACCTCAGATGGCTCTTGTGTGGCCCAAAGACCCCCTGCAAAAGATTATCCTTTGCTGGTTCACTGGGAGCATGATGGAAAATTAATGCCGACCCAATATCAATCAACCCCAGTGATTTAACAGGGTGGTGTTCCCCTCCAAAAAGTGAGGATTCCCCACTCAACCCAGGGACACCCCCCTTTTAATTAGCTGGGGTCGATTAATATGGGGTCAACATTATAAAGGCGAAAGGTGAGAAAAGGTAAAATACGCCTGGCGATGTGCTCTGGTCATTACCCTTCCAATATGGAAGTGCATTGGAAGCCCTTCCATTGGGAAAACAAATTCGCGGGGATACGGGGGAAGTGGGGATGCTTCGGGATTCCCTGTAAAGAACACCATGTCAAAAAAATACCCCAAAGATATGCCCACATCCCTGCTTCCCCCGCATCCTTGCTTGTTTGTTTGTCGGAAGGTCTTACGGGAAGCCACACGCCAGAACAAAACCCAAGCGAATGTTTGGTGAGAGCCTTCTTTGAAGGGTCCTTAGAACCTTGTTTGCCGGGCGGGTCCCAAAATCCAAAAAGGACAAAAGTATGGCGCTGGTCGGCCGGGTCGCACGTTGTAGGGCGGCCTCATACTTTTCTCCTTGGCAGCTTGCTTCAGTTTGTCTGCGCCTGGCTGACGCAGTTCCCATGGCCATACCCTCTGCCAGCTCTTCCGGCTTTCGTGTGGCTGCTCACTTTTTTGAAGGGCATCCTTTTTGGCTTGGACAGGAAACCGAAGGGGGACACTACGCATTTACTTTGAGGGTTTCCATTTGCAGGGCTGTTGACTCAAAATGACCAGCCAACCAGACAAGTCTAACAATCAGCCCTCAGCCTCGCAAATGAGATCTGTTCAAACTCCCCGAAGTTCTAAGGTTGGCAAGTGGGAGGCAACTCAGCCATTGCCTGTTTTTGTTTGCGGTATCTTTTCTCGCTTGGGTTTGTAAATGAATCTTCACCAACCCACGATTCAGGATCCCTATGAAAGAAACCTTCATGGGAGACTTCGCACCACGCGAAACGTGAGGTAGAAAACTCTTTAGTGGCTCAGCCAAAAAGGAATCCAGCAGACGTTTCGCGTTCGGTTCTTCAGGAAAAAACCAGTGGTTTTTGGGTGGAAAGCCCATTTTTTCCAAGAGGGGCAGCTCACATGGAGGCTACAAACAGAGGGGGTTGTATTCCCACGGCGACGATTCACCTGGAATCCCCAGACCAAAAGCGGGTGGCTGTACATCACAATAGGCCCCTGCAGGTTGGTTTGGGAAGCCGTCTTAGATAGTCTCAAAAAGGACATCCCACTACATGGACCCCCTCCAAAAAAGGATGGAATCCGCTCAAACAACCTTTAAAAGTATGGCCCTCCAAAAGAGTGGTGTCCTGTTTGAACAACCCCGAAAGGGTAGATGTCCGTTTGACCAGCCTCAAAAAGGGGGATTCGCTTGCAGAAATCTGCCTTTTCCGGGCTTTTTAACGGGACTCCTGCTCTTTTAGAGGTTGTTCATACGTAGCCGCTGATTTGTTTGTTGGGCGGTTTAGACCGGACACCATCCTTTTTGAGGTTGTCTTGACGGAGAGCCGCCCTTTGCGGGATTGGAACGGGACACCACCCAACACTCCTGCTTCCCTTTTTCATGTGATCTGGCCCTGGAAATACAAGTTTTCAACCTGGAGAGCCAAACCACCAACGGATTGTAGGCTTTCTTCGCTTGTATAAAAGTAAATCCACACTTGCCGAGCCTTGCACGCGGTTCCCATTTTGGGCTAGCGGGAAATTGCTCGCCCTTTTTTTGGGGGGTTGGTCATAGGTGGCCTTTTGGAAAAAACAAATGGCCCTGGTTGGAATAAAACCCAAAACCAGTGCCATCTATTTCTAGCCAAGCGAATCTAAAAAGGACACCTGGCTGATTCAAACCGGTACCAAAATGGAAGCCTGGTAAGTGGAAACATGGACCAAAACCTGCGGTCCCCTGGTGGATTGATTTTGACCCACACCCACCTATGGGCTTGGTGCAAAAAGCCCCGCGTCCGGCGCCTGCGAAGGCGGGCTTCGCCTTCTTCAAGGAAGGGGTGCTGGTGGTTCGCGGCTTCTTCTTCTTCTTCTGGGCGCGAAGTCGACTCAACGTTGGAAAAACCTCCATGGATTTTGGTCCTGCCGGGTTCCCTTTGAAACCAAGGAACCCTTTTCGCCCGAAGGAACACATATGGGTTTCTGGTTCCTTTGGTGCAATGTTTGGGCTGAGACATGTGGGACGTTGGTACCCCTGTCCGGGTGCTTTGAGGGAGTTCAAAGGAGACCCATTCTTGGGGTCAAAGCCATCCAAAAGCTGCTGAAACTCGGAAAGGGTATCTCTATGTGGTTCGGCTGGTCAATTTATTGACCCTCGAAACCCAAAGAGGGGGTTGTGCAAAAGAAGATTCCTCTGCACATGGATTGTTTGTGTGTGTGTGGGAGTTTATGTGGTTGGACCTTCTCAAATGGGTCCTCAAATGGGTGCCACGCTCGGCCAAAGTAGTGGCAACGTGTTCTGATGGCCCAAGCTTAGCTGGAAAGGGTTCCTGATCATCTTTCTGGTAAAGGTGGTATCTGATTTGGCCCATAGGAATCCTTTAAAAGGACCCTGTCGGCATTCTTTTGACTGGCTTAGTCGAACTGCCTAACAAAAATGCTATCAAAAGGGCAGCGAAGCCAACTGATAGCCCTTCCGAGAGAAAGAGGTTCAGCCTTGCGAATCATCACGAAGAATGTATTAAAACTGGGAGACCAAAACTTGGTCCACATCTGAGATGACGTTTCATATATAGTCTACCCTAAAATCAAAACGTCGCGTTTTTGGAGGAAGAAAAGAGGTGACAAGATCCGGTCGGTGGGCTGAGAAGGAAGGGACCCCTTTTTTTGCTCACGAGCGGGCCTCTTCATCGCCGTCCAGGGTCACAGGACTGGTTTGCCTCAAGGTCCGGCAACTCGAAGCCGCAAGTTGCTTCGTCTTTGAGGTTTTGGGGGCTCACAACTACTGACCCGTTTTGGGCCGGATGTCCCCCAAGGTGCTGCCTAGAGGCCAGAGGGGATCCGCAAAAAGGGCCCGTTGGTTGGACAACCCGACATTTGCTGGGATTTCTGGAAGGCGCAAATGAGGAAGTTGCGGATTTAAAACATATCAGCAGCTAGGATGTCCCGAACCAGAATTCCTTGTAGCTCTGATTAGCTCCCTTCCAGGCCAGCTTTGGCCACCAATTTCTCCGATACTTCGGGCTTCAAAGGTGTGTCCGAAATTGGGAGGACACAAATGGATTTCGCTTGTCTCTGTTTCCCTTCGGTTTCAACCGAAAGACGGCACCCTCCAGCTGGAATCATCACCAAGTTGCGCATACACGTCCACCTTCTCCTTCGTGTATGTCTGCCTGGTCGGCTGGGTCAGTGACTAGGTGACTTTCTTAAAATCATTCTCTAAATGTTCACTGAATGAGAATCTCCCGCCCAAACCACCACACCTTTTCTCAGAAGCTTGAACAACATGCAACTTTGACGGACCAAGTACTATATATATATGTGATATATATATATATATATATTTGCCGGCAAGTAGCGTGAAGAACTCGCGGACTCCTGAGCTGGCTGGCTCAGTCAGGAACTCTGCCAACCCATGATCAAACTACACATGTTTCCCCCAAAACACATGGGACACTCAGGGCTCTGGCTTTTGTGCTTGGAATTGAGTGAGCCCCATCCCCACTCATTAAAGGCTGTTTCTTTAAGGGACACTTGGTAGATTCTGGTGGGATATGGGGGGACCTTCTGGGTTTACCACAGAGTTCTAAATTGGGTCCCGGGGAATCGGTTGACCCCTAGGAAAAAACATGGCGGTCCTGGTTCCTAGACCTTCCAGTGGTGAGGAACAAAAGGGCGCTTGTTGTTTGACAGTTGCTTTTAAAGGGGTTGCCCCCTGAGAATCATGGGACACTGAAGCTTGGGAACAGGCGTTGGTCTTCTTATCGTGAGGCGGGCAATGGAACCTGCCTTCAACTACCACAAAGAAGACGCCCCGCCATGATTTGTCTTAGCCCAACCCCAATTTACACAACAACCATATTTTCGAGCCCTCCTCCATAATTGGTCAGCCTGAAACATTTGCAACATACACTGGAGACCCCATCTTGAGCCAAGCAACGAACAGCTGCCGGCTGATTTTGAAGACCCGGAACACGCACGTATTCGATGTGCATGGCCTGCCCAGCTTGTCAGGCCGAAAATATCCACCCGATTTTAAGGAGACAATCGAAAGGATCCTAAAGTCTCTCCGGACAAGCAGGTTGCAACCTCAAGTCGTGGTTGGTTTGGTTTCAAAATGATAAATGGAACAAAGTCTGAGTTCGTTCATCAAGCACATCAACTGTACTTGAGTTTCTCAAAGCTAGGGACCCCTTCGGGGCTTCCTATTCGCTTCCTGTTATCCTGCAAACAGGAGACCCCTATTTTAAGAAACCCTTAGCAAAAAGTCGGTCACTGGCAGAATACGCCATGAACCTAGACTCAGAACGTCTCAGGCTATCGCGTTGGCTCAGTTTGCCCATACCGGGCAATATTACCACAAGAGATACCAAGGGCCAAGCAATTAATTAGTGAGGATTCCAGCCAGGGTACTTTTGAAGTAGATTGGAGGGGACTCCGTGGATATCCTATCTCTCTACTGCTCCCTCTTCCCTGCTGATAGCCCAGTCTGAGGATAGGCTCAAAGCACCATAAACCACCAATCCCCGACTGTAAGAACCCCGAACTCCTTCTTTCCGTAGCCCCATTTGGACAGATTATGTGCTTTCCAGGTATGGAAAAGCCAGGCATTGTTTTCCAAAAGGCCTCTCGGGGCGATGTTTTCAGCCCGCATGCACGAGCACTTGCTCGCATCGCCTGCTGCATGCGCGAGATCTCTCCCAAGACTTTGTGGAACTCGGAGGTTTGCTGCGTGCGCGAGGCCTGCATCTGCGAAAGCACCGGCTCCTTGGGCGACGCTGGCATCTTGACCACAACGCGTGCAACTTGGCAGCCACAAAAAAGGATCCGTGCACCGAAAATCATGCGGATGAAGTCCCCGTGTGTTAAATCGAAGTGCTCAAGTAGTCGGGATGAGAATCCTACTTTGATGCTGTGGGTGGACAGAATCCTGCACCAAATGGATGAGCCCCTTTGAATACTGGGATATGCAAACCACCCACCAACTGACCAACTGGTGTAGAATTCTGTCCATCCACAGTAGGTTCAGATCATGTGTCATGTTTATGCAAGCAACTACATCGTCTTGGAGGAGACGGTTGGTTGGTTGCAAAGTCTGTTGACAGAAACCAACTCCTGGCTGCATGTCAAGGGAAACATAACATGAGGTTGCTCCAGCAAGTGCTTTGAACATGTTTAGGCAACCTGCCCAAATCACATAAAAATAAAGGGTGTGCACCTTTTGGAACGTTGACTGAACATTGGACCAACTAGGGAAAACTCAACAGGTCAGCTTTGAACAACAAGGCAAACAAGTGGGACTCGGCTAGCGCGGATGGGGGCAGAGTGATAGTATGAGGGTCTTGCCAGCGCCCAAAACCTCGCCATAGTGCATGTTTTTTTTGCTTCGACTGGGTCGTAATCAGAGTCACAATCATAAATGAGTCTAGGTATCCAAAACATGGTACTCCCAGATTAAAATGGAACCTGACAGGAGGTACCTTTCAAAGGAAAATGGTCCTCCAGCACCCCCTGTCAGGTTCCATGTTCATTGGTGTGATGGTACTTCCCAGCTGGTTAACATGATAAGCCACACTTCCTTCTGGGCCCTTGGGTTCGAGGCGAACTTGAAAAGTAAATCAATTCACCTTGCCAATGGGACTGTTCCTTGAGGTTGGGCAATAGCCAGCTGGAGACAAACAAAACAATCGCTCCGGTCCCTCTGCTTTACTTTTAAATACATGCCCAGAAGGGCCACCCAACGCCAAAAAAGGAACTTCGTTCGCTTTTGGGATCAACCTAGGGAATCGCCTCAAGGGAACCCGCTTGAGTGATCAAACTTGTACAAAAGGGCAACACCCAAAACCATACAAACAATCAAAAGGCAGATATCCGCATCCGGTTTTTGCTGGAGCCTTGCCCAGGTCTGATTGTGGCTCCAGCGAACCAACCTATCGAACCGATCGCAAGATGATTGCGAAGGAGGTTGACACCTGGCACGGTATCTCTTCTGCAAGAGGTTGATTCTTACGGTTCGTGAAAAGTTGTGCATACCTTTTCCCAAACATTGCAAACCCACAACTCTTTTGCTTCGGCAACCTTATGCCTTTTGGCACAACGCCAACATAACTATGGTTTATGTCCCTGGTCGCAAGAATGGCATCGGGGGATGCGACGCATTCTTCAGCAAAGCCGCCAGATTCATCTTCAGCGAGTCATGCAGCTCCTGCGCGTTCCGACCGAAAAGGAATCCTCATGGGTCCCGCTGACCAAATCCTGGAGCCATTTTAAGGAGCCTTCGGCTTAGCAAAGCCTTTGTAAGGCTCAAAGTGGTGGACCTCGGGGGTGCCAGCTGCGCCAAGCAACCCATCTCAACTTTCCAGACAGGGCAATTGAAAAAACAACAAAGGCAAAACACAGTGAAACATTTGTTTTCCTTGCTTTTTCGCCATGTTCTTTGCTTTTTCGGGTTTCCAACACATCCACAGAACAAAAACATTGCGGTCTGCGCCCCCCGCAACGAAACCAGCGGGTTTCGCTCCTCCAGCCTGGCTTGCTGACCAGACAAGGAGCTCTCCAGGCTTAAGCCCAGCTCTGCGTAGTGCCTGCGGAACCAATCGGATGAAAGCGCGTTGGGGCTCAGATCCCCTGCTGAAAGTTTACCTGGTGGATTGGTGGTCTAGCTACCATTATCAAACCTAGAAACCTGAAAACCTAAAAGGACGGCTGGGAACCAAAAAGATTTGGAGGACCCGTTTTCAGGGAACCTTTGCTTGGAGATTTGGATTAGTGGTTTGAGAATTTGAACACATGGTTGTTGTCATTGTAACTGGGAAGCGCCCCCCCCCCTCACCTCCAAGCCTTCAATCCAAACCACCAACTGGAGGAAAGCAAGGGATTGACTGACCCCTACAAGCCATTCCTCACGGTTTCCGTCACGCGTTCTTGTTGGACCCTTTTGCCCCCAAAAAGGACCCAGGCAAAAACACGAAAACAAGCACCCGGGAGAAAAAACAAACAAGCCGTCTCCCAGAAGTGTGGCTCTTTTGAGAATACGGCTGCAAGGCTGTTTTCGGACCCACTGTCCAGGTGTCGGAGCGTCGTGGCGTGGGTTGGATACGCTTTGGGGGGCTGATAAACCCAGAAACAGAAAGAGGTGCTCCCTTTTTGGAGTTGATATCCTTTGTGGTTGCAAATTTAAAACCAACTTGTTGAGTGCTTCCCTTGTTGAGATAGACTCGTTGACCGAATGGGAACCCACTTTGGAGACTTTCAATGGGTGGTATAAACCAACGCCACATGGGTAATGCTCCCAGTTAAGCAGCTGGCTCAATACCAGCGATTCAATGGGTTCAAATTCAGTCTTTGACATCTCGTGTGCAAACACCAGACTTCGCTCGTCTCAGCGGTCAAAATGGCTCGAATATATACATATATACATATATATATATATATACACACATAGATATTGTACTATAGTGGAAAATCCATGCTTCCTCCCGCTGGCAATGTTGAGAGCCCCCACATCCCTCGTAAGTTGCCCATAGATATTTTCATCGAAACTCATGCCCCGGTAGTTTGGCGACCAATTCTCACAGTTTCACTCTGGATTTGCTGGGAATTTGCTAATCAGGACCAAGCACATGGTACAATGCTCCTGACCACAAGGGTTGGGCCCCCCTGTTCAAACATGTTTAAACCACTATTGTTCAAACTTGTTGGGCTCCTTAGGGTTTACCTTCTCAAAGGCCAGGGGCGTATCAAATTAAACGCCCAACCCTGTCCGTGACGAATCCGCTCCTGTCGTCTTGTCGCTGCAGCTTCTGCATCTCTTTTGATATCACCTTGCAGGATACCCCAGTCTTTTTCAGCGACCTTAGGAAACAAACATGGACCACTTCTCTTTGGGGAAAGGACACAAAGACATGAGTCGGGAAGCCAAGCAAAAAGGGATCTGGAGCGTGCCACTGGGACAGAATGCATGCCCGTTGGATCCCAGGTTGAGCTCCGAGTGACTTCCAACGAGCCTACGGATCCGAATCTTTTCAACAAACCCAGAGGGAAAACGGCTGTTTGCAGAGAACAAGTGTGGACAAGAGTTGGGAAGCCTAGAGAAGCATGCGACCTTTGGGGCTAGTGGCTCCAAACACGGAAGGACAGCGGCCGGTGCTTAAAAAGAACCATTGTTGAACAGACTGAGCAGCAACCGGTAAATTCCCTTTGGCTTGAAGTCAGAGCGGCTGGAATCAGTGGAAGCCCAGTCCCAATGCTGTCGTATGGCATGAGGATTTGGACCCTCAACTTGATGCGCCTTTGAAAATCGGCCCAAAGGGTGCCCTCTCCACCGATCTCGTGGGAACTTCTTGGGGGCCCGAGGCAACGCCTGGTCTGACCCGATGTCTGCAGGGCTTCCACGGAAGCCTTGGGTAACCGGAGCCCCAAAAGCCCCAAACATGGATTCTTGGAGACCTCAAATTTATGCGTTCCCCCGCCAGGCTTTTCTTTGGTCCTTGGAGCAAATATCCAAACGCGGGTCCTAATTTTAGGCAACCCCCGGAAAACATGATTCCAACAAGTTCCAACACACATTAGGTCCCCGTATTTTGCAATCTCCACCAAAAGGGTCTACCGTCGCCACTCTTAAGCATCATATGTTTCACCGTCAAGCAAATGTTTTGTTCATGGAACATCTAGCTTTCGTCCCCGCGGGTCCCTCCCAAATGGTCGCTTGATTTTCCCCTAGATTGGCTAGCTTGCCCAGCTGCGTGTGTCGTGTGCATTTTTTCTGTTGCGATACCTCTTTCACCTATTTCACCTTGCAGAGAAAAATGGAAAGGGAGGCCACTTTTTGTGCGTGGCCGGTTTTCTTTGGCTTCCCCAGCCAAGACGGGGGGTCCCTAGTTGGAAGTGATTTCCTTTGGTGGGCACAACAAGGCTTCAAGTCCTGCAAGGTGGTTCCTTATCAAACTCCTCAAAAAACACCTTTTTCAGGTCCCCTTTCTGGGGCGGTTTTGAGTTTCTGACCCCCCCGTCTCACGCGCTCCCGCTTCGCCCGGTGCCCCGCAGCTCCCGCCCCCGCGGCCACCCGCAGCCACCCGCCTCGGTGACGCTCCGCAGGGACCGCAGCTCCTCAGAGTTCGCCGCCGCGGCCGCCGAGGCCTCGAGCCGCTGCAGCACCTATGCGCGGGGCGCGGGGCGGGCTTCGGCGGGATCCGACATGGACGTCTTTGGTGCCCCCCCAAAAGGCGGGCGTTCGGCTCGGCGTCCCGAGTTAACCAGCCTCAAAGTAACGTAACCCTAAGGGGGCGCCACCACAAAGTCACATGTGTGTGTGTGTGTCTTTTGAGGCTTGGCAACTAGGTATCCATCGGATCTATGGAATTCTTTTGATTTTTGTTTTGGGGGGGAACCCATGGCAAAATCAACTCATGTTAGTGCCTGGCTATGAAGCTAAGGGACCCGAAATGGTAGACATCATTTCGGTCGGGGATTCATGTCTACCACAACCACTTCCGACGGAGGTGAACTCATAGCCAGGTAACCCCAACGAGGGGCCAAGGGCCTCAGCAACTCCCTCTGAAGGGCTTCCCCCAGGCTAGACCCCCCCCCCAAATAGACCTCAGGGCCCCATGATAGTGCGTTAAGCTTTTGAGTAGGGTATATCATAAAAACCTCCAAGTGTCTGAGCTCATAAGAGTATGACGGGAATCGCCAAAACATCAAAGTGACATCCTCAAACATCCAAACCCTTCCATGAGCAGTCTCCTTTTAGGGCCCCCCTTTATGGGAGTTCCTTCTGTCACCTCGGATTGGTAACTACTCATCTTCTAGGTCGAAGTGATACTCTCAAAAAGGCCCTCGAAAAATGGCGGCTGAAAGGGACATGAGCCAGTCAACATTCTTTGTTTCTCCCAGTGCCATCCCCTTATAGCAGATGAAGCTAAGTATTGACCGTTGCTCACATCACTGCCCAAAGGTCATGGAATGAGAGGCCCCGAGCATGCCCACTTACGACCCAGAGTTTAGCGTTGGGTTGCTCCAAAGACCCTGGGGGCAGAACGTTGGATCGGAGCCCAGGATGGGTAATGTCTTAAGCCATCCCAAAAGGGAGCCCTGGTGAAAAGGAAAACCACTGGACCAAGTCTTCTCACTTGAACTGTTGGTCTTTTGAGGTTCGGAGCAACCCTGTTTTACAAACCAAAAGGAGCTTACACACACGGTACGTGACATTTGACTGAAACTGTCGCAGCTCAAAGTCATTAAATTCTGGGATTAGAATTACATTCTGGGACCCCCTGACTGGGCTCCAAATAGGTCCTGAAGCTACATACCTGATTGTTCTTTGGCGCAAGCTGGAACCCATTCATTCGAACCTGTTGATGGTCCCATGAATATTTACTCAACCTTAAGATGTAAACTGATGCGACTTGCATTGTCGCCGAAGACCATGCAAATGAGTGTGCCTTTTTTTGACGGTACCCTCCCGTGTTTCTCATAGGATGTCCAATTGCTAAAATGGCAACGGTTTCCCGTTGGCTTTCTTCCCTGTACGCAAAGGGGTCAGGATTGAGAATCGGTGACGAAATTGTCATGTTTTTTGTGCCCGGGGCCTGGCTGGTGTCGGCATTTGAGCTGGTCATTCGGTCATTGATTCGCGACGTGGTGTCCTGCAAAGACATCGGTACTTGTCGAAATACTGGTCTTGACGCTCAAAGTGGTTCTCCTTTGAGCTTCCTGTTACACCAAGCAAAAACGGTACCCGCAGAAGAACAACAACAAACATACCACATGCCAAGGGAAAGCAAGCACGTTCACGTGAGTCACAATCACTATGGCGGGAAGGGGTGTCTCAAACATTTTGGGGGACACCCCCAAAACGCTCGGTGGCATTTGGCTTTCAAAACCGACCGAAAATGGTATCCTCCCAAAACGAAACGTAAATATGCAAGAACACGACTCCCAACAACCCCTAAAGAGATCCTCTTCCGAGCCTTTGCTGGGGAAGTGCTTTGGCAAAATTCGTGGAGGCCATGACCATTACCTGCCCAAAATCAAGGTGGTATTTCGGCCACTGCACCTATGAGCCACTGCAAAAAATACGAACGCTTCCGGCAAATACGGGACATTTAGGGCTCGTCCATGTTGTGTGGCGAGCTTAGCGAGTCCCATGTCCCCAACATAGCCCCATCAAGGGACATTTTGACCATGGGGCCTTTGCTTGTCATATGGGCCCTTGGTAGTTGCTGGTGAAATCATCTGGTAGATCCAGCCCTCGGGGCATTTTCTGGTGGGATATGGCTGGATCCGGATGCGCCAGACTCGAGCCACGGGCCAGATTCACGTCTCCTTGAGCTGGTCCAAGGCCTTTGAAAGCTGCACCCCGCCCTGGGCGCAGCTTTTGTCCAGCTCCAAGATGCGAGCTTCCTGCCGATGTGTTTTCCGAGGAAAACGTCGGAAAGGACTGACCCGGTGGCGATTCCACAGGGGCCCTAGGACCAAAACCCAATTTCATGTGCCTTTTTGGGAGCGTTCATGGCCTGAGGGTAGATTCCTTCCATATTCCGAAGCAAATGGTAGGTCACAGAAAAGGCCAGTTTTGAACAGAAGTTATGCGGCAGGTGTTTGCCCCACCGCAGACACACCCGGTGGGGTGGGGTGGTTGACGTAGATGCCCACCACCGCCTCGCGGGGGGAGGGCTCCCCCCCGCCACAAATATTTCATTTTCTGACCTGCCCCACCCCCCCCCCCCCGCTTCCATTTTGTCCCTGACTGAAGGGGGGGGGCGTTGGAAGGGGCTGGGGGGGAGGTTGTGAGGGATCACTTTTTGCCAACCAAGTTTCATGGGGCTACTGCGCGCCCCTTCCACACCCATAAAATGAAATTCAAGGAGTGGGAGGTGGTTCTACCTGCAAAAAAACGCGATCCGAAACGAAATACCGGGCCGGGGGGGGGGGTGCACCGCGCCTGAAAATGGAACACTGAGAGGGGGGAGGTGGATTTTCTTTGGCGGGATGCAGGAAATACACTTGCCCCCCCCCCCCCCCCGATTTCCACACCCGATTCCCCACCCTTTTAAATGGAAAGGGGGGGGAGGTGTTTTTATCTGTAGCTACAATCCGCACCCCCCCCTCGAGGTCTGCAAAAGCAATCGGAAAATGAAGGGGTCCCCCCCCGCCCCCAACACGAAATTGCCAACTTCCACTGGGACCTCCCCAAAGCGGGATTCCACGCCAAACAGTTGAGGTAGTTCAATACATTCGATTAGCGCCGGGTTGATGTATTTCAGTAAACGATGTATTGCAGCCTTTGAATAAAAACCAGGGATTCACACCAGGGGTTCATATATGGCTCACACCAGGGGTTGATGTATTTCCCTGATGCCGCGGGTTCATAGCGAGGTTCATAGCAAGACACCCCCCGGCCTCTTGCTCCAACATGCTCCGCAAGTGATTGGCAACGTCCACAGCTGTCTGTGTGGACTGTTGCACCTACAGCTCGCGGATCCCCACTACGGGGGCCACGCAGAAAACAAACAAAGATACACGAAGGAACAAGACAAGACCCTGTTCTTGGCACCTGTTCTAGATGTGTGTCTTGGATTCTTGGCGCGCTGCTTATACTTTTGTTGGTCCTGTTCATTTTTTGGGCGGATGCACATCACAAGCTAACCACGCTCCTTCTTGGAGAGCTCGCCCGTTCAAGACTTGGGTCCGCGTCCATTGCAACGCACCAAGGGCACCAGTCATAGAAACCAACTACAAGCACAGGGAACTTTCCGGGACACATTGGGGGAACTCCGAAGATTTTTTTGTGCGGTTGGCTAATTTCCCGACTTGTAGCTAGCTTCTTGGAGTCACTGACTTGAATCTTGCTGCCTGCCACAGTGTTCCAAGAGTTTATCTGCGTCCCCAATGTGGCTCAAAATGGTGAGCCAAATCCTGTCTAGCTGGTTCAAGGGAAACCAACAGATTGAAATGGGAATCGGCAAACCAGGAAAGCCAGTCCATGAATTCTGAGTCGCCACCAGGCAGACCCTGTCTTGCACTTCCCAACGATAAACATTAAATTTACTTCCACGAAACCTATTTCATGAAATGTTGCAGGTATGGGCTTTGGAGCTGTGATATACCCCTTGTATTGGTGTGTGTGCGTGTGTTTATAGTTTTTTTGGCTTCTATCTATGGGTTTATTAAGCATCCAATACCTCCAATTCCCATGCCCATGTCCTTGACAACAGGGACAAAGGGGAAGCGGACTGGCCTCGAAGGATTCCGGATGACAAGTTGTGTTTTTTCCCGCAGCTCACGGCGTTTTTCAACATGGAACCTGACTGGTGGAAGACCATCTTCTTGAAGGGGCCATTTCTCCGGTTCCATGTTTGCGGACAGGTTGTGACCGCGACCATCATCTCTATCACATCCTGAGTGGTTGGCCAAAAAAGTCTGAATTTTGGTTGTGCCACTAAAACGTTTTTGTCCCAAAAAGTGTTTGAAGATCAGGAACTCAGGAAATGAGAAATACACCAGCTCCTTCCCTCCTTCCCTGCCTTGCTCAGCTCGTCACTCCACTTGCCCTCTAGCCGCTTGAACTCGCTATGCTCGCTCTGCAATTTCTCCTACCAGTCGCTCCAAGTCTGGGATGAGAAAAACACGAAGCTGCAGGAAACAGGTTGATCTCATGGGGGTGCCCAAGGCGGGCTTCGGTTTTCCTTGTTCCCTTCAAAAACCTCCAAGTCTGGGATACCTAAATGAACCAGATATCTTCAAGGGTTAAGACTGACATGCGTGCTTCAAGTGCAACTTCCTTCCTGCGCTCCAAAAATATGGCGCCCAAAGGCGCCTCCAAAGAAATCGCATCTTGTCTGTTACTTGCCATTCCAAAACCCGGAGGTGTGAGGTGTCGCCAATCTGTTCAAACTACAAACAAAAATCCCGAACCAAAAACACAATTAGCGCTCAGCATGTGTTCTTGTTACAGAGAGGTCTGTAACGAGTTCTGTAACGAATGTCCGCCGCGGCTCTGCTGCAGACCCCTCAAGAAAATCATTGCCATTTGAGTGTCAAACTGGGGGCACCCCCACAATTGCGCAGTGTGTATCCTTTTAGTTTCCCTTTACACCAAGCCCTAAAGGGGTACCCTCAACAAAAGAGAGCGGGCCGCCATGGGGCCTGTGTTTTTCCAGTGTAGTGCCTTTTGGGGCCTGTGTTTTTCCAGTGTAGTGCCTTTAGTGGTGCAAACAGGATTTGTATTTATGTTGTGTTTTTCTTTGTTAGACCAAGGAGCCAGAACACACGGGCATGTCTTTGTGCAAGGCAGCTTTTTTTTGTAGACTTGTTTGCTGGACTGTTGCCAAATCAAATGCTATGTCACCCTAATTAGTGACAGAAAGAGATTGAAGATGCCCTAGGCTGAATCAAAACTGCTCTCACTTGGCGGACGGTTTCTTGTAGACGGAGGAGCACTGATAGGGCTTGGCCACACGCTTGCGCTTCTGCTGGCCGTGCTGGTTGATGTACGTGGCCTTCTTGTTGCGGATCGCTTGGTTATGCATCTTGCAGTAGTAGAGCACCTTGAAGGCGTGCCGGAGAGGAGAGGATTCGTTCAGCACACGTGCGTAGTTCCGAAACCACGCGAACACTTGCTCTGCCGCAGACGTGTTCACGTGCTTCAACCGCTTGGCCAACCGCGGCACATGCAGAGGGTTGCACTTGCATGTCTTCTTGTGCCCAGTGGCATGGAAGCAGTCGATGGTCCAATACTTCACCTGCTTGAATTCTTTCACCTCCAGGGCTTGCGGCATGAAGGCGCAGTTCCGATCCAGCACGAAGCAGTTAACCTTCTTGTACATGGGCAAGATCTTCAACAGTGAGTCCTTCACAACTTCGTTGTTCTCTGGCTTGCTCATGCAGGAAACCGAAAGCACTTGCAAGTTCTTGGGGTCGACGATCATGAACCACCCGTGCCCGTACGGCTTGCCCTTTCCATTCTTGCGGGGCTTGCCTTGGTGCGGCGCAACCTCAGAGCACTTCACATGGACTTTGGCATGTCCATCGCCAACTAGCTCTGTGACAGAAGCTTTGTTTCGAGGGGGGAAGACTTTGGAGTGCAGGTGCTTGTCATACGCAGCCAAAGAGATCTCGGAGAGTTCGTTGCCGATCTCAATGGGTTGGTTGATGCCAAGGGAAGACAACTCCTGCAATGCCGCCCAGTACATAATTGCATCTGCGTGAGCCTTCCGGAAGCGAGTGAAGTCCGTATCATCCACGGTGCCGTAGACATTCTCGTACACATCCTGGATGGCTCTGGATGAAACAAATGCACGGAACTCAAGCTGGGTGTGGTACTGCAAGTACTCCAAGCTGAAGCCACGCTTCACTTTCACGAACAAGACCTTCTGAATGTCCTGCAGGTTGGCGGTGTTCAGTTTGCATCCATCGACATTGACAAAATTGGGGCCGTAGGTCTTCCTGCAACCCCAAGCTGTGCAGCGCATAGTCCGGACGATTGCATCAGATGGACCACTCATGGAATAGACGACCGCCTCGATGTCATGAGCTTTGGACAAAGCCTTGTGTCCACACGAGCAACTCTTCATGTGTGTGCTGTACACAGGCTTGGAGAGCGCGCCACCGGGAATATGAAAAGCAGGGCATAGGCTTGAGGCACCAGCGCACATGAAGGTCAGCTTGAAAACATGGTACATCGGACTCTTCATGAACTCCGCAAAGACATCCGCCGAGATGTACGCATGCATGCCATCGTCGACTTTCTGCACCTTCCCGTTCGCGTTGATGACAGCGAAGAAATGGCTTCTTGTTGTGTCCAGCACGATAAACTTGCCTGGCTGCTGCTTGCTGTTTGTAGACACTAACTTCAAAGTGGCACCTAAGGGGGCCAACATCTCACATCCATCAGCCGCAGTGAACGGGCCATTCTTGTCGTAAGAAATGGGGCACCCAAGGCTGCGAAGAGAATTGCAAAGGCACACCTCCGAGTAGGTCTCGTTCGAAGCACCGCAGCCAGCAGGATGAAGCCAGGCCTCATCCATCTCCTCAGCTGCTTGGTCCATCTCTATGGATTCTTGGCTGCACAACAAGGAGCTTGCTGCTCTGGTTGCTTCCTTTGGCTGAGCGTGGTCTGGGGCAACAGGTGAAGGTGACACGACTTTCTGCGGGGAAGAGTCCAAGTCGATCACGCTGCCAGAAGACTGCATATTCAAGCTCCATGTCTTAGCTTTCTTGAAGACCCCCTCCTGCTCCATCTCAAACTTCTCCTTCTTGACCGACACTGCAGACTTCTCAAGGGCACGCTTCTGCTTGTCTTGCATTTGCTGAGTCACCGAAGGAACCGCCGCTGGCCTCTCTCCGAAAACTTGCTCCCGAATCCGATTGCGCTTGGCATCTTCCTCTTCATCCTCCTTGCTGCGACTCCTCTCTGCGAAGCGCTTGTGCATGACCGCCTCCACCCACAGCTGCTCCTTCTTCACCTCCTCGACGAAGTCATCTGTGATCTCCTTGGTTCCACCCTTGTGAAGACCATATAGACGTTTGCCCTCCTCGGTGAGATATTCCGCGTTGATCTCCCACACACGCGGCACTGCCTCGGTGTTGATGCCCGCCTTCCTGTAGTAGACGTGAGTCTTCGTATTGAGCAAGATGCAAGTTCTCTTGAAGACAGCATCCATGTGGGCGAGAGTGGCACTTTCCACAATGCTGGGGCGCATGAGCTTGAAGAAAGTCTCGAAGCTGACGGTGTTGGCATACGCAGGCTCCTCGGAAACACCATCATCATAGGTGTTATCTGCGACGGCACGAGGTTCGTTTTGAACCCATTTTGTCGCACCCCATCGAGCCCAACACATGCTCTCATAGAGCCCGACATCCAGGAATGCCTTGAGCAACTTCATCGGGAGCATGTGCAAGGATGTGTCATCCAGGAAATCGCCCATGAGCACGGACCCCTGTTCGCCACGAAGAAAGTCGATCTCCGGCGTAGAGCGGATACAAGGCTGACCCGACAAGTTGAAGCGCGCCTTGTTGTGGCGCACCTGTGCCATCAGGACGCTCCTACCCAACGGGCTCTTTCCCGCGCCCGCCTCCCCCAGCATGGTGAAGGCTGAGAGATCGAAGTCCCATATCTCCTCCATGATCTCCAAGAGCCAGGAATGGTAATACTTGGTCGTCAAGGGGATGGGCCAATCGAACTCCTTGCGGGCCAAAGCGCCATCCGAAGCCAAGTTCCGAAGAGCGCGGTCAACCAAGGCCTGAGGCCATCCATGGATGGGAGAAGCTTTCCGGCGCAACTCCTTTGTCATCCATCGCAGCTGCTGCATTTCAGATGAGCTCCTGGGGCCATGTGCCAAAATGAAATCGAACCCCGCATCCACTTCCTCATCTGTCTTGTCCTCGAATGAGGAAACAGTCTTGGACTTCACGATGGCGTTGCTCGACAGCTCCGCACACTTGAACTGCCGACCACCCATGGTCTCAATGCAGTACTGCACGATCTTTCTGCCGAGCTTGGGCTCCTGCATCCAGATGGCGCGCTTGGCAACTCCGAAGCCGAGCTTCATGAAGAGAGGGGCCTTGCATTTCTGGGGGAAGATGAAGTGCTTCCAAATGGTATAAGATCCATCCAATGCTTTCAGGATGACCATCTGGAGTTTTACATCCTTGCCCACTTTCTTCTGCAAGCCGAAGGGTGCAGAAATAAGGTCCAGATCTTCATTTTCAATGGCTCGCTTGTACTCGCGCTCCAACACGGTAAAGTCAATCTCCTTGCGGTAGTTGAAGATGACATCGAAGAGGTGCACGCTCGCGTTGTCTGTGTGGAGCAAGTCCGCACAGGGGAAGTTGACCGGGTTGAAAGAGCCAGGCGGTTGCTCTGGCAAGGTAATAGGACTGGTGGAGTTCCTGCAAACCATGCCATCGAGCACCTCCCTGAGATGGTCCACGGTCATATCCTCCGCCTCGAGAGCCATGACTACTTGAAAGAAGAGGGAATGAGCTGAGACTTACTTGAGCAGGCTACCAGAAGAGGGAAAAGTAGATGCAGATCCAGACGCAGCATGGAGCAAGAAGTGCAACAGAGGAAAACACTCCGGGAAACCCAAAAAAACAACAAAAAACAAAAAAAACCAAAAAAAACAAAAAAAGAAGGGAAATGACAGGAGGTGGCTTGCCTGAGCTTTTGTCTGCCAGATTGTTTTTTTTTTTTGTTGTTTTTTTTTTTTTTGATTTTTTTTTGTTTTTTTTGGGTTCCTCGAAGAAAGCCCCAAACAACAGTCATGAGGGGGAAATACAAGGAGGTGACTTACCTGAGCTTGTCTGTTTTTTTCGGTTTTCCACGATTTGTTTTGTTGTTTTTTGTGTTTTTTTTCTGTTTTTTAATGATTTTACTGTACTTCAAAAACGCAGGCCCCATGGCGGCCCCTTCTGCAACAAAAACAGACCCATGATATGCTAACTTCAAGGGTCGGCACTTTTTGGTATATCTCAAAACTGGGCAAACAACAATGGGTGATTTCCTTTTGGTTTCCCTTTAAAAACCATTAAAAAAGGGGCATGCGGCATGCGGTGATATCAACAAATTGGATCACTTCAGATGTTTATGTATTCGATGTCCATCTATACCGAGTGGTTTTCTAAACTCAGATCTCCCTTTTCAAGCTTGAAGGTTCCAATTTCTATGTTTGCATGAAGTTTCAGGACACCTTGCGATATCTGTGAATTTGTAGCATCCATCTGGGCAAATCAACTACTACAACTCATAATTTGGAAGCCCCTAGTAGAAAGACCTTCATCAAGGGTGAGCTCGTTTTGCCTCTAGGCGAGCTTCTTGTAATTGGCGCCGAAACACATCTCGGCCACCTTGCTCTCCTGGAAAACAGAAACACATTGCGTTTTCATCAAACAAATACGGGCACCCTCAAAATTTTGGGTGTCCCTTTGGTTTCAACCTTCAACACCACCCCCTTCGAGGGGACCATGATATCGGTTTGGGGGGTTTGGTTCATCGAGCCCACCTCGACTCTCTTCAAGCTATCGCTGAAGGTGCTATCCAGCTCGCGCATCCTGGAAGAACTGCCAGCTTGGGACTGTCTTCCACCCAGAAATACTCGTGGTTCGTTAAAACATTTAGTGGGATATGTCACAAAGTCTAAGGGTATGGCTGCGCGCCGCCAAGCAATCAAACGCAGGAGTTGCGGGGTGGGACTCGTGGTTGATGGGGTGGTCGAGGTACTTCAGTAAACACTTGTTTGCACGCAAAAGGCTACACCCCCGCTCGCCCCCGCTTCTTGGCTTCAAACATCCCAACGCTCTTTGTTGGGGCCCTCGGTCCAAAAGAAGTCGCCGATAAAAAATGACCAACGGCCAACATTGCACCACTAAAGGAGGTTTCCAAATGCTTAAGGGTAGTTTGAGGGTTCACGAAGCAAACAAGAAAACAAATGACCCAGGAAGGATGCACGCATCCAATCTGTGGCGTGTCCAAAAGTCGCCGGGCCGACTTGGAGCAACTGGGTCTGGCTACAAGACATGAACATACTGTGGACAAAATTGCACAAGCTGGGATGAAGGATTTTGTCCATCCTCAGTATTGTTTGTTTCGTTCCGCCGCTGTTAAGGCGCAACCAGACCCAAGGAAGGTAGCGACAAAGTTGAGTCGCGTGTCCTCCTATCAAGCCCAAATGATGTTAAAGCCCAATTCAAGGTATTGGGTTTATGATAGCTAAGATTCATGAACTTGGCCACCAAAGAAAAGTCCAGCTGAACCGGACACTGGATGTCATCTTCTGCGATACCAAAGTGGTTGATTCCATCCAACCAGGATAAATTGATCACTTCAGAAGGGCTCCCTTTTGAGCTTTCACAGAATGTGGACCGACAATCTGACTTCCCACAACCGTTCTTGGGCCATGCTGGGGTTACACAAAGGAACCCCAAAACTGGTGGCTGCCCTTAACATGTCATTTGAACGGCTCCCAAAATGGGTAGCCTCAAACAAAAACACCTCGGTGTGTGTGTGTGTTGTTTGAGGGAAACCCTTGTTTGGTTTTTCAAGGCGAAGCAAAAATGAACCCCACCATTTGAGTCGTAATCAAACCCCGGCTTTACGATGGTCTACCCGGAACCATGTAAAGAATTGCACAGGCGGCCGCACCCATTTCTGGCTGGGATTGTCCGACTCTACTCCAATTACCCGGGGTTTTGACTGTGACTCGAAGGCAAGCCCATTTTTCCCCAACAGCTGAAAGCTTTGGGGTCTCAGCCCAGATAGGCTCCGGGGTGGTCCGGGGCGGCCCTGAGGTAAGGTTCCACCAGGGTTCCACCAGGGTTCCGCGAGGGAGCACTAAAAAGAGCACCGATGCTGTTGGGGATATCGCCTGAGCTGCACATCTTTGCTTGGCAACTTCCCCGAGAGCTCCTCGAAGAAAGTCGGTTGCTATCCTGCGCTGATGCCTGCGGACAAGGGATCCCATTAGACCCCAAACAGCGGCCAGGTCACCCTCGAAGCCCTCAAAAGGGAGGGGGGGTTTGGCCACAAAGGTGAGGAGGTGCTTTCAAGCCCAGGCTCTTTAAGCGGGCAAGAATGGTCCGGTTTTTCGTTGGGGGGGATTGAATTTCCGGAACAAAGCGGTCGAAAAGGCAAGCCTGAGAGGTGCTTCCCAAACCTTCCAGTGGGTTTCTAGGTTCCATGTTATTCTGAGCGCAAAATCCAACCGAAGATGCCGCCCAAATCCAAGGTTCGGATTTGGGACCGTGGACGCCGTGGACCATGCCCATAAAGGTGCCGCTGGGGGGGGGTTCAAGAGACCTAAGTCAAAATGTGGTGCCCGAATGTCGGCACATGATGAATAACCCCCCTAAAGCAGACAAGTACCAGACGCGTAATTTTACATTGCCAAAGCTATTGCCATTTGACAAGGGGGCTTGCCGAAAAAGAACAACAGCGAAGGCAAATTACAGTTTGTTAGACAACATAGACAACCAAAGGTTAAACAAACTCGTAAAGAGCCCCCCCAACCCCGCGAATAATTCCAAACCCCCCATCTGTCAATTTTGACTCTCCAGAATGAAATCTCCTTTGACTTGTCTATTTGCCTGACAGGTGGGAAAGGAGGACTGACCAGGTCCGGTTCACCCGAGGGGGCGAGGGGACCCTCCAAAATCTGGATTTCGGCAACCTTCTGAGGAGGGAAGGGGGAGAATAATTCACGCGCCTCTGCAAAAGCACATGACAGTCTGGTCTTAAGGAAAATTTGCAAGCCCATGTGCCCAATGGCCCAGTTTGACTGAAGCTCGTTGCAGCGTGTTCCAACCAATGGCCACACTTACGCTCCCTGGAAAGGCAAGGTTGCTTCTCAGGGAATATGAAAGACACCCCAAAGGGCAAAGGGGTAAAAGCTGAGGACAAGTCTGGCAATGCCAAAGCAAATACGCAAATGCCCTTAAAAGAAGGACATCGCCTCGTAAAATCAGGTTGTCCTTTCGTTGTTGCCTTACAGCCAATGAAAACGTTACCCTGCAACAAAACACAACCCCAATTGGAGACAAGTTCCTCACTTGCCCAAAGGCCCTGGAAATAAAAGGTTAACCCTGTTTGTAACCTAGAAAGGTTAAAACCAAAAGATCTTTTCAGGAGCAAGTGAGCAGCCGAACAGGCTCCTTGCTGGACACCTACAAATGCAAGGTGCCTCTATGCGCTCTGAAACGGTCTTCAGTGCATTGAGACAGGAAGTCTCCACTTCCCGGATCTCCTGCGAAGCGAGCATGTGGGGGTTGGGGGGCTGTGGGCTTGCTCGGAACAGATGGGAACCCCTCCCCCAAAAAAGCATCAAGTGGCTTCCTTCTGGATGCACGTGATTGTCCCTGGGTGCAAGCTGGAACCCCGTTTTGCTTCCTGGTTGTGGTTGACATGACTGGAAAAACCGTGGTGCCAAATTCCCATCCCAAACACGTCCATTTCTAGAAGCGTCCCCAAAAAATATTGGTCCCCCAAATGTTGGGAAGAGAAGGAAAAGGAACCTTGTTTGGGGTTGTTGGTGCTCTCTCCCTAACAAGGTTCTTTCTCTTCTAGGGTCTCTCTTTTTTAGGGAAGAGAAGGAACCTTGTTTCTTAGTGCTCTGGTTGAGCAATTTCGAGCGGGGTTCCTCCCAAACAAAGAGGACAGCAAACATGACACAGCAGTGGTGCTCGAAAGGATACATCCGAAACCCACCTGGCTCACGGGGCTTCCCAAATGCAATTCGCCTGCATCCTCGTTCATTTTGACTCATTCCGCTCCCTTCTGGTTCGTTCTGATTCATTCTGAGTTCATGCTGGCTCACTTTGGCTCTTCCTGGTTCCTTCTGCTGAAGCATTTCTTCTGGTTCATTCTGATCTGCGCCGGTGAATTATGTTTCGCCATTCATTCTAGTTGATTCATTGTCGTTCATGCTGATGAAGCGAAATTCATTCCATCTTGTCATCTCTGTTCCTTCATCCACAGCCCGGGCTGCGCGTCCTCCCGCTTGCCCCGTCGACCGCAAGGAATCCCCGGGCATCAGAAAAGCCGTTTTTTTTGCCGTTGGCAGCACAGGACCCAGCCAGCCATGTGTGAACCCCCCCCCAAAAAGAAAAAAACACCATGTGAACGCGAGCCCGCCTTCTGCACGGTGTTGAAGTCCAGAGCTGGAGGCATGTTGACTACCTGGGTGTGTGTGTGCGTGTTGTTTGAGGGTAACCTTTCCAGGCTGAGGGAACCGAAAAATCAGAGCTGGGATAGAGTTACCCCTATTTTCACACCCACCTGAGCCTGCATTTGTTTTTAAAAGCAACGGGGGGTTCCATCTGCCAATCCCGGTTTTTGCGGCCTTTGGGCCAGGTTCCGGAAAAGTGCTGGGCATACTTCTCGTGTTTGGCCCAAACCCATGTGTCGCGACTTGCGGAAGCCGAAGACACGATCCCAAGCGCAAGGCTTTGCGCCTGGACGGGACTTTGCTCTTGAAAGGGGGTTACCTGGTGGCAGTCCGAGTTGCCTGGTGGCTTCCGGGAGCAACCGGACTGCCAAAGTACTTTAGAGGTCTTTCCAGGATATGAACCCGGCTCATGTGCAGACACTGATATTGATTCAGAGCCCCTCCACATCTAAACCCCTCAAGGAAGGAAAAGGAGTGTGCGTCAAAATGGGGCGATACAAACCCGCAGCCCAGACTTGGGCATGTCTAGTTGGCAATATTTTTTTGGCCCTAAAATGACACTGCTACGCTCCAAAATTGGAGCGGGTCTGAATTTTGCAGGATTTGTCCAGATTCCCACCTGTCTCGTGTTTCTGTTTCGTGTTTTGTTTTTGTTTTTGTTTGGGGGGGGGGAAGCTTCCAAAGGAAGCTGAGGCAAGGAGGAAGGTCCACCAGCTTGAGGCAACGGATCATTCCCCCCCCTTTTAGAGATACACATGCGAGTTATATTACCCCTTATACAAGTGGTATATAACCCCCTTTGTTAGACCCCGTTTCGGGTCACCCCATGGGCACTTATGTCCACCCACCAATTCTGGTTCGGGTTCCCTATCCAGATTCATAGCCATCAGAGGGGGTTCTTCTGATCCTGGAAACTTACTTTACTTGGGAGCAGAAACCCAATAGTGACTATTCGCGATTGTTAGCGACAATTCGGGGCCATTCATGACTACTCAGGGTCATGATTGCCCATGGCTCCCCCTGGTATGTTCTGAGTCTACAATTGTTAGCGTGCTCTTGATGGAGGAGTGTGAGGCATTGGGCCATAGCTGTTCTAAATCCCAGGCACGAGCTTCTCTACCCGCTGCAGCTTCTCTTCCACCCGCTGCAGTTGCGAAGTCACGGGCCGATCAGAGGACACGGTGATGGCACCTGCCTGCCCCAGCCGGCGAGCGGATTCCATCCGCACGGAGCTTTGCTGGGAATATGCCACTTTCAAAACTCGGCGGTTCGCAGATCCCGCGCGAAAGGCCAAACTATGTCGTAAATAGCTCTAACCTCGAAAAGCCTACAAGTCTAAGGAACCTTATGGCTGGGAATCTGAGAACCGCCAAGAAAATTACTTGTTTCCCCTGAGCAACTGGTGAGGGCCCTGGACTTTGTGTGGAAATGCGGTAAGTCCCAGATGTCCAACCCAAACGGACCATAGTCAAACAAATAAAACTGTTTGAAAGGTGTAGGATGAATCCCAAATGCTCTATAAAGCATGAGCTTTGGACTGAGTCACACGCAATGGAGTCGCAGTTGGCTCCTTTTGTTCTTGTTTCAAGTTTGGTCCTGCCGCCGTGTTTATGTTTCTGAGAACATGTTGCAGTGCTTGTTCATACGTTCATTCCCGCACCATCCACTGGAATCTGGAACCTTTCTCCAATCATGCAAGCTGTCCATTTCCTGTACCCTCAGGCTACCTTGAAAATGGGATCGCGAAAATGACCCCTTCATGGCAATTTGAGGGTAGACAGCACATGTTGATTCTCCCCCAAAAAATATCCCGGCCGAAACGGAAGTGGACCACATTCGCCTCGCGTCGGAAAACGCTGACCGCGTCCGTGACTTCGGCGCGGATGCCCTTGACAATGTCGTCGCTCACATTGCCCAGCTTGGACGCCAAACCTACGCGCGTGGTCCATGCAATCCGCAGATTTGTCGACCATTGGCCAACCTGAAATAAGAAATCCCGGAGCAGGGGACCTTCATGGGCGAGCTCGGTTTGCCGAGTCGGTAAGCTGGCTAGAATTTGCCCAGAAATTGAATCTTCCTTGCCAAGCCCATTGCGGCAACCCAGGTTGATGTCGGGAGTAAGCAAAAGTGTTTTCTTGTTTGGCCGTGGGCTGCAAAAAGTTGAGCCTCTGGTCAAAAGTGAAGAGGGCAGGGTATGCATTAAGCATGTGGGCACGTCAAAACATGACGACTTTCTCGTTGGCTTCACAGTTGCAATCTTTTCAAAAAAGCGGTCATGTTTGCAGGAATCGCCTAATCTTTTGAGACCCCGCCTTTCTGGGTGCCATGTTGATCCGCAAGAGCAAACAAATCGGCACCACGGCAAGTACAACGACATTGGCACCCGAAATGCTAGCTTAAGGACTTATGCTCATTGTATGCTGACAAAAATCAAGCGGCCGAGAATTGCAAGGCACCTGTAAAACACCCCCAAAGCAGGGTGCCCTCGGAAAAAAAGGACACGCCGAAATGCCCGGGGGGGCCTCCCGGGAGCATCTCCAGCAGCTGCTGCCATTCGTTCCTGCCGGGCGTTGCTACGTGGGGGCGTCTTTTTGCAAGGGTCCCCCGTGTTGTTGTGTTTTTTGCTTTTGTTGTTGTTTTTTTGTGTGTGTGTGTGGTCTTTGGGGGGCGGGGGGAGGAGCGGGGAGAGGGGGGGGGAGGAGGGGGGAAGGGTTTTTTTTTTTGGAGCAGAAACCAAAAGGAATAACGCGCCGCATTTTTGGGAGGTCCCCTAAAAACATCAAGTAGGAATAAATCGGAATGGGACCCCTTGAAAGGAAACACGGGATGGTTCAGTTCGAGGGAGTAGCTCGGACCCATCACCCCCACAGTGGTGTGATCGCTCCTTCGCTACGGGAAGTTTAAGGATTTTGTGAGACAAACCGACATTGTGACTTGGTTCAAGACTGCCCTTTTCGAGTAGCATTGAAGGTACAAAGGGAGCTGTCTGTGGTGGGACTCCCAAACAACACACACCCAGAAAGAATCAAAGGGCATTGTACAAGACCAAAAAGTTTGATCATTTTGCATAAAGACTCAGCTTGGCTTCACAAGGAGGTTTGGTGCCTTGGATGAGTTGGGTTGCAGTTGGGTGAAAGTAGATTGTGCAAGTCATCCCCTTGACTTGCCGCAAATAAACATGCTATCTACTTTCACCCTGGTGTACGAGCACCATTTTTGGGTAGGAAAAATGCGTCCACGTGCGCCTGCCCCTCCGAGCGTCCATCTGCGCCAACGGGGTGAAGGGCGATGGGCTCGCTGTTGATCTGAGCGGACCATGCAAACAAGCGAACCATCCGCAAGTTGTTTGTTTGGTTCGATCTGCAGAGTCTGGTGTCGCTTCGTATCGTTTCCTCGTTCGTTTTCTTTTGCCGTGTTGGTTTCCAATTGATTGCTTGCTTGCTTGCCTGAGCGTGCGTGCTTGCTTGCGTGCTTGCTTGCTTGCTTGCTTGCTTGCTTGCTTGCTTTTCTGCTGCATGTCAGCTAGGTGCTGGTCCGTGACTTCACTAGAAATGCGGATGTTCTCTAGCCAAAAGCTAACAGTCATACGAGTGATTCATAACCAACAACTTGTAGCGAAGGCGAAAACCCAAAACATCCCAAAACCACATAAGGATCAACGAAGGCGAGAGCTTCTACTTAAAGGGAGTATCCCCCATTACCCTCCGATTTTCTCAGTGCAAATCATGAATATCCAAGTCAACCCCAGGCACTGTGTTCTGACAATCCGTTCATCAAGAATGAGTTGGCCCCCCTGTCTCATGCTCTAAATCACTGCCGCATCTTGCCAACAAAGTGCAAGCCCTCGGCATTCGATTCGCCCGATCTTCCCTTCAAGGTAAGGCTGCTTGAAGCCTCCCCTGAAACAAACGCAGCAATGTATCCAGTCTTTAGGAAATGCCCACCCCCATGTCTGAAAGGCAAGTTGGGACTTCAAGCATCTCAAAGGCCACCCGAAAGACGCTTGGTGCCCTTCGATTGGTTAGGACACGTCCGTGCTTTTGTAAACATAACTCCCAACACGTCAAAGGGTCGGAGGTGATGTCACGGCTGCACTCCTGATCCTTGTCTCAGAATCGAAGCCAGGCCTCTCGTATTGCATGTCGGGCGAGCTCTTGGGCCAAAACACTGCCAACGAAAAGCAAGATAGAACCCCTGGAACCAACGCAAACTACTAAATCAAGTGTTAGCCACTAGTATGAACCTAGACCTCAAACTACCCTAAAAATGTGATCTTGCTCTAGTCTAGCTCTGCATCTGGTAGTCTAGCCTCAGCACGTGCATCTGACTGCTCATGATTCACGCACGCCTCGACTAGTGGCCGCGAACTCATCTTCTAAGACGGAACACCGCAGTCCCAGTTTCTGGGGGACAACACTACGGAAATGGCCCATGGTCCAAAAACAAAAACCAACCAGGGATCTGAAAATGGATTAAAACGGGTTGTCCAGGATGTAAGGGGTCCAGCATCAGGAAGGTCCCTCGAGTCACAATCAAAACCTGGCATTACAATGGTCTACCCCAAATCGTGTAAAGAAGCAAAAGGGCGCCTGCCTAGTTGGGGCTCTCCCTTACTGACCTTTGGGTTGTGGCTCAATGATTTTCGAACACCTCCCGCCAGTGGTGGGTGTTTTTCGCTGAATTATGTGCTGGGTGTTGTTGGTAGTCTCAGTTCTCGCCAAACATATGACGTTGAAATTGGTGATCTCCTTTCGATAACAGGCTGAGTCTGAGCAATACTCAACCATATTCGATTGCTCATGGTTGACAGCTCGTTGCAATTGGCGCAATCTTGCCATGAAGCTGCCGGGCTCCTTCCTCAGTTCAAGGTAATGCTTCCCTCTGCTAGACTTGAGCTTTGCCGGGTAAGCTGCACAAGGACTGCTCAACGACATGCCAGAACGAGAAAACGAAAAACAAGACAACGACTCAGACAAAGGGCAGCCTACCCAAATTCCTTGGTACAGACCGCCGCATGTCGCTCGCCTTTTTCTGGGGATGCGTTTCGCCATTATCGAAATGATGTGCAAAGATTACAGGCGCCATGGTCAAATCTGCTTTGGGCCATTCTTCTAGTTCCTTTTTTTTTTAAGTTGCAACGGGGTTGTGCAAATCCCCAGCAATTAATGACCCTCCCTGCTAACCCCGAGCAGGTTGTTAATCCCTACAAAGGGGTTGCGAACCAATCAAGCAAACGGAACTGGTCTTTTGACCATGGCACATGCATGATCTTTGCATCTTTGCCTCTTGGGATTCTGTAACCAATGGGTGGCAGGGCAAAGAGCTTCAAATAGCTTCGAAGCTCCATGTCTCTCTGCCAAAAGCTGCGTCAGTCCTGCTCTGGCTTGTCATCGCCTGGAGCAGCACAGACTTTCCCCTCTTCCATGGGATGGGACTTGGTCTTGTTGGACAATGGGACAGTGCTAAGGCCATTCGAAACTTGGTGGCCGGTTTCGTGGGGAAAAATGGTCATTCCCAAAGAGTTGGACCACGATGGACCACGGGGCTTGTCGATTGCCACGTCTCTCTTCGCGCCTGACATGGGCGGAAAGGTGGCCCAATCCTCGGTTTTGCCTCGCGACATGGTCCCGAGGCGGTGTCTGTGAGGAGACCTGAACCCTTCAATTACCCCTCAAAGTACCCAGACCGTTCAATCTTACCCATAAATAGATTAGGGTTGATCTTTTTTGTTTGGGGGGCGAACCCTTGATCACACTCCCCACGAGATACATCCACGTCACTTTGTCTCAAAGCGACTGCTCCGAAGGCTTCGTGCAGCCATCTAAAGGGGTCCCTGATTTTGAGACCAGCTGGATGTGGCTGACGAAACGGACGCACCCAAACGAGGATAAGAACGCCCCCCGCCCCGGCCGTGGCTTGGTGCCCAAGCCCCAACTCAAACCTCATGCATGATGGACAGCTGCATTCTTTGGGGGCATCCATAGCTTTCAAGTGTCCTTTCGGGTGGTTTAAAGATGCTGGGAACCCTTTCTTCCCCTTACTCAGTTGCCCAAAGGACCGAGAAGCAAAAGGTTAACCTTTTGGATCCATGACAAAAAAGGACCAACATGAAAAAACCAAAAGGTCAAAAGGTCAACTTTGAACAACTGAGCTTACTAATACTGCAGGCCCCCGTTAAAACGAACAAATGATGTGGGCCGGGAATATGAAGTAGAATACCCAATTTGAAACCAATACTAAACCAGCGATTTCCCCCACCGACCCCAACTCCAGTCGTATTGGGGGTCCCCATATCTTAGTTCATTACTGGCTCGCCCCAAACAAAGAAGAGGGAGGCTGCACTGACCAGGACAAGTGTACTTTACGCTACAACTAAAGCTAGTCTCTGGCAAAAACTGAAACCCGCCCCCCCTAATAAACATGTTTGCTGTTTTCATTAGCGTGGTATTGTAAGGGGGAAGGTACTATAAGGGCTTAAAAACTCAGAACGGGGTAGTGTAATCATTTGCCTGGTCCCTCAAACTACCCTCAATGAGTCGTTGATCCGAGATCCCTTGATAAACGTTAAGCTTGTGGGACATGTCATAAACTTTAAGGACCTAAAGGCTAAGAACCTGTATGTCCGGATCCGAACCGTCAAGTATCCTGGCAAAAGGGAGCTGTCCTCGCCTCCGCTTGGAGACGGCGTGGCCTCGCCAGGATGCGCCGCCTAGCCAACTCGTGCACGACTGTCAGTTTCTCAAGTAAGACATGGCCATCTTTCCATGAGTCCCCTGATTTCTGTGAGAAAAAATAGTGAGTAAGGCCACTGGACTTGCTGACAGAACCTCACAACCCCTGTGGCCAGGAACCAAAAGCACCCCCGCTTTTGTGGTGGCTTGATCTCGACTTAAAGAAGAAGCTGGAGGTCTGGGCCCCTTTTCAATCTCAAACTGGCAAAAAGGCTCCTTGTGGGCTGGTTGGCACACAAAACGCAAGAGCCTTTTGGTTGGGGAAACTCCAACACGAGTTTAGATTGCCCTTTGGGCTTCTTTTTGCAATACCCCCCCCCCCCCGCACACAAAACAAAAGAGTAGGCCCACCAGAAGAGCAACTGTCGCACTCGTGCTCTTCACTAAAGAAAACATGCATACCACAAGCAACTCCCTTGCAAATGGTTGGGGACATCAACTGGGATGTTGATGTCATCAACCGGGATGTTGATGTCATCAACCGGGATGTTGATGTCCTCCGAAGGGTCCCCAATTGGAATTGCTACGCGGCTGCAAGCCGCGGATGGCTTTGTGGCAAGTTTGGGTCCCGCCGCAAACCAACAATAAACTACCACGCGAGTCATAATCAAACCTCGCATTCAAGTGGGTCCCAAAACCTAGGTGAAGAAACAGAAGGGCGCATATCCACACCATTGTTTGTGCTTGGACTTGTCCCCAACCTTCACTTCCCCGGGTTTCACCTAGCTTGAATCCTCCCCGCCCGGTCATGAGCGCATCGGCCTCAAGCCAATCGGCGTTCTTTGGCGAGCGGCTTCTCTCCTGGCCCCACACAGCACAATGCCTCACGTGTAAACCCACCAGCATGGATTCCTTAAAGGATACGTCTAAAATCCAACTGCTTTACAGGAAATCCTCCAAATTCGCGGGTGAACACATAACGACATCAACTAATGAATCATGTGTTGGGAAATTTGCTCTTCCAGGTGTGTGTTTTTTCCAAAGGTGGCTTGGCCTTGCAGTTTTTACTCTATTGGCAACGGGTCAGAATGGGCTTTATAGAACTACCTGCCTGTTTCGCACTCACCCTCCCGTCCGCCAACATGGAACTTCAACCAAACGCACGACATGGCTCCAGATTCGACCCTCTAGTCTTTGCCACAAATATTCTATATTAAAGGCATTTCTAGTGTCGGACGTACGGGCCTTTTTCGTGGCGCTGCCGCCTTTTCGGGAGTCCAGACAAAAATCCCTCCCCCACATGTGCCACTGCAGACTCCTTGTGGTCATGATCATGCTCGACCTTTACAAAGGTCTAAACCCCCTACCGGGTCGATCTCGACCACCGGAGCAGTGTGATGGCACACATACTGGTTTCAGCGTGTTCCTGTCTCTCCTCAGCAGAAGCGGCTGCCTCTGTCACGAAAGAACCTGAGGGTATGTGAGCGGACAACATTTCCCCAAGAGGACATGGGACAATTGGGCGGCCCCTGGTTTTTGCAAGGGTATTTGGGTGGGCACCCCCGTTTCCTTCCCAAACAAACAGCAGACGTGCAATAATCTACTCGGTCGCTCATGTGAAGCGATAAACACGTAGAAGGCTGATGTAGCACTTTTGTGAGTATGCCCATCCCTCACATGTGATGGGCGACTCTGGGCTTTTCGCCCGCACCCCTTGGCCCGGGTCCTGTCAGCTACCAAAAAGAGAACCCGAGGTGCAAAACTCAGGAACCTGACATCCGTGTCATGTTGAACATGGGTGTGCTTTAAATTCAGGTGCGCCCAAGATGGAGGTGTTCCCTTTGTTTCCCCTTTAACACACACCCAAGAAGGGTATCCTCAGAGAAAAACAGACCCACATTTTGTAGCAGTTTCGTTCAAACCGCATTTGCTCCCATGTCGGGACATGGGTCAGTTGCGAATCTACCACTTCGAGGGGTCTCTCAAAAAGGACGCCCATTGGAATGTTGAAGGGAAACCTGAAGGCAATCAGTGCCAGAACACACCTCTAGGAGGTCTGTGCCTCAGACCTGGTCCCTATGTTGTTTGGGCGCTGGAGTCGACATCAATTTCTCCTTTGGTCTTTGACTCCAACAGCCAAACTGCTTGCTTTGTGGGGGAACGGTCATGTTCAACAACACAAAGAAAGTTCAAAAATCAAGCCCAGGAGCGCTCGAGATTTGGAGGCTGTTCAACAGACTGCAATCTGATTGTTGAAGGCCTCAAACCCATGGTACGGTAAAGAATCGAAAGTACTTCTCGCCGCAGATATTTACGGTGCTCAACTTTCAAATGCCCGGGTCTTGGTCAAAACTCCTGTGGGTTCAGCATGCCTTATTAGAAGGTTGTCAACCATTTCCTACTTGCCAACCCCAAAAAAATTCGACCACCTCTTAACATCCATTTGACAGCATGTGGTTCATACGCGGAAAAAACAAACGGTCTGAGGTCCGGTCCAAAAAACAACACAGGGTCCAGGTGAAAGGGGTGCTTTGACCCTGGCGCACGCGGGTCCGTATTTCTTTTTTGGCTGGTTTCAAGTGGAAGTCGAAGGGCCACATTTTGACGCACACCCATTTTGCTATGCATGGCGCCCACCAAGACTTGAGACCCGGCTTTCTGGCTCCGCCGCCGGCTCTGCAGGCTTCACATCACGATCCTTCCAGGTAGCAAAATGGCGCGGCTCCGACTCGGGCGGTTTACTCGGGTGCACGACAACTGGTTAGAGCCCTCCCTTAAAACAGGACATTGCAAAAATTATGGGGCGATGTCTGCCTTGATGCAGACAATGCTTTTGTAGGCTCTTTAGGGGAACCCATCCCTCTTTCTCTGTTTCTTCCTCTTCCTCTTCCTCTTTCACTCTCTCTCTCTCTCTCTCTTTCTCTCTCTCTGTCTCAGTAATTTGTGCGTAACGTTGCGAAATCGCGCTGCGCCTGTCACAAAAGTTCCCCAATGCTGTGCATCTGCGCTTGACCCTGCGAAAGAGCCGTGGCAACTGTCACGGAGAGTGCGCCTGACGTTGCCAAACCGCTCCGCCTGTCACGAAATCTGCCCCTCAAATTGAGTGACACTGCGCGCGTCCGCACCAATGATATTTCCAAAGCGCGCGCTCCAGCATTGCCAAATGTGCTGCAACCTGTGTGCGAGTCTGCAAGAGTGCTGCGCCTGGCAAGCGCTGCGCCTGTCTCGAAATCTGAGAACCGCTCCAACGACGTGCTGTGCCTGCTTCGCAATGTGTGCCTCAGGTTGCCGAAGCGCTGTGCCTGTCACCACGCAAACTGAAAGCGTGCCAAGCCCGTGTCCGAGACCGTTCCACGCCCGTTCAGCGCCCGTTTCGAGAGGCATCGCGACCAGCCGGAGAAGCCAACGCCGCAGAGAGGGTTCATCATTTTCGCGATTTCTATTCCCACACGGCAGGCTCACGCATATTTTGTCGCATGCGTTCATTCTTTCTTCATTCTATCTTTGCGTAGAGATGACCCCACAACCCCATACCAAGTATCTGGACCCTTATAAAAGCAAAGGCCAAACTTTGCTCAAAGTGCTTGCATTTTGAGGGATCGTTCCCAAAACTGATTTCGGAGGTTTCCCTTCAAATTACCATTTACAGGGATCCACAGAGGGAAACATCACCCCCACCAAGGGAGACTCACTTTGAATGGGACAAGAAGGTGATGTGTCAAATCTCCAAAAGAGGAAATACAGGGATCTCTGACTTAGCTCCAGTGAACCTTTCCGGGTCCTATTGCCACAGGAAATGGGAAGTCAGAATCCCATGAGGTTGGGGGCTCTCCAAATCAGGGACCCCCAAATGGGCGGGTTCATTCCTTTGGACGTCGAATTCAAAAAAGCGAAACAACTACACTCCAAAGCACCTAGCCGTATTTAATGTAAGTCTCTACCTAGGCAGCTGTACTTATGCCAGGCCACGTGAGGCCTGGCTTTTGCAACCACACTGGGCCAAACCTAGAACCTCCTGCGAAAAAGTGTCAACTTGTTGCTGGTTAAAAGGCACAATAAAGAAAACACCTAAAAGGTAGTTGCAAAGGTAGGCTGTTGCGGATGAACATAATCCACCTTGCACAGTTGGTGGGTAGGTGGTTTATCCCAGGATAAGGATTTCATCCATCTCAATTGAGTAGCGACCCAAACCCATGGACTTTTGGCTCTACCAAGGTGGCTATAAAGGCTAGAGGCCCTATCATCCGTTTAAGCAGGTAGTAGAACCACCTTCTACTTGGTTTTGGGCACTCAATAGACACAGGATTTGGTCCATCCACTGTAAATGGTCTTCCCAAGAATGACTAAAGTCCAGGAAGCTTGACCAGTGCCGCAAAGGCCAAGGCAGTTCCCTTGGCACAGAATAACGAGCTCTGGTAGACCCTTCAAGAAACGGAGCCAGCCTCTAGGAGCCTGTCGTCCACCTTCTTGTCAGTGTGAAGTGCAACCATCTGCGCGGAGACCTTGAACAAAAGTGCGGATTAAACCGACTCCGAAATCAGCAGCAAACCACCTGGACCCTGAAACCGGGGCGGCGACTAGCAGCGAAGGGTAATTTGAAGGTGACAAACTAGCAAATGCCGATTTCCTCCGATTCCTGCGGTCCCATTGGAAACCAAGCAAAACGGGGTTTTTAAACTCAAAACTAAACTTCAAACGAATGCAGTTGGCTTCAAACATTGCAATCCATCCCTCTTATTTGTCTGAGCTTCCGACTTGACCCAGCAAGGCCTGCCACTCAACTCAGGCTGCTTCGTAGTCCGAGTTTCAGCTCTGGGTGAGCAAAATGGGACGTCTTCTTTTGGGACCCTTTTTGGGTTGCGTGTAAAGGGAACAACAAAGTAACCACTGGTCGGGGGCCCCTGAAAGACAAACCCAACTGCTTCTCACCCGCCTCGACTTTGGCGCCGACCATCGCTTGGGTTGCCACTTGCACGCTGAGGGCATCCATCTTCCCTTGAAGTGTGGACTGGGACGCGACTTGGGCCGCGATGACATCCACCTCGGCTGAAAAGAACCTGCAAGCAGCCTGTCTTTCTGCCTGGACCCTCGAAGTACCCTTTGAACAAGGAGAAAGTCACAATTTTGAATTTTGAGCAAGTGTAAGGACACTTTTCAGGGTGGTTAAAGTCCCGGGTTGTCCCGTGTTTTGCGTTGCCACCTGACCCTACCCAGACCAACTCCTTCCGCGGTGTTGCTGCAGTCCCCAGAACCCCGCCCGAGCCAACCAATAGGTTTAGATATGGAGCAACACCTTCCAACCTGCAGGGTGGGGCGATCTTGTTTCAACCATGGTTGCTTTCCCACCGTTTTGACACGGCTAAGGGCTGGCTCTTTGCACATTGCCAAACAAACCTGGTGATTCCGGTTCTCGATTCAGCATGTGGCATGCTGCTCACCAACCGATCTCAGCGCCCGGCTTTCCCAGAGATTCCGGAAAATGCCGCCGTCTGAGTTGTCAGAACGTTGATCTTCTCCTGCATATCAGCCTGAATTTTGGGCAGGCCTGAACCGTGTCTGTGTGCAGGTGCTACTGATGAGGCTAACATTCTTGGATTCCTGCAGTTGTTTTTGACAATGAACGCTTTATGTCTGACAGCCTGTACCAAATGGAAAATAAGAGCGCCATTCTGAAAACAAGTGCGGCTCATCTTTTTATGTGTGTTGCAAGAAAGTCCCTGAGATCCTGGCGGTTGTGCTGATTCGGTCTCTCTTCTCCTCGCCGGCTCAGCTCACCAAAAGGCTGCAAGGATTCGCATCGCGGGGTGGTCAAAATCACGGGCCCTGTTTCTGAGGTCATTATTTTGACAGTTTCTGGGGTTGTCAAAGTCACAAACTGGGGTAGCCTAGCACTTGGGGGGTGACTTTGACACTGGTAGAATAGTTCGGCCATTTTTTTGGTATCGACAAGGAGCAGGCGTCTGCACCAGGGTGCCGAAAGGTGGCGCACATTTCGACCCCCCCCCCCCACTTGCAGTAGAGCCATTGACGCCCCCTTCCCAAAGATATATGCTCCCAGCAACGCAAGTGCCATTGGACTTTGGGTCGACGAGGAAATCTCAGGCGGTACCAGGATCCTCAAAAGCCCCTAAATCACCCACTATTTTGGTGGAATCCCATGTTCCACCAACGGCAAAATAGGAAAGCTTTCTTGGATGGCGAGCACTGGGTGCAATGCGCGATGTTTCAGGCAGTTCAGCTTAAAAGCAAGTGGCAGCTTTCAAAACCATCCCCCGTCCTGTTCCAACCATGCGGACTGCTCCTCCATTTTGACCAGAACTTTGCTGATCTGCGAGATCCAGTTCAATTCACCGAGCGCATGAATCAAAGCCTTCACATAGGAAACCCGTGCCTGCCCTTTCACCACCGAGAGCTCTTCCCGAACACTGGCGACATCCCTTTGCACCTCGGCCATGGCTTCCATTGCTTTCGACTGGCTTCCACTGGTTTCCCTTTGGCCTCACTTTGGTCTCCGTTTGGGTTCCACTGGTTTCCCTTTTCACGTTGGTTTCCACGGGTTTCCCTTTGGCCTCACTTTGGTTTCCGTTTGGGTTCCACTGGTTTCCCTTTTCACGATGGTTTCCACGGGTTTCCCTTTGGCTTCACTTTGGTCTCCGTTTGGGTTCCACTGGTTTCCCTTTTCACGTTGGTTTCCACGGGTTTCCCTTTGGCCTCACTTTGGTTTCCGCTTGGGTTCCACTGGTTTCCCTTTTCACGTTGGTTTCCACGGGTTTCCCTTTGGCTTCACTTTGGTCTCCGTTTGGGTTCCACTGGTTTCCCTTTTCACGTTGGTTTCCACGGGTTTCCCTTTGGCTTCACTTTGGTTTCCGTTTGGGTTCCACTGGTTTCCCTTTTCACGTTGGTTTCCACGGGTTTCCCTTTGGCTTCACTTTGGCTTCCGTTTGGGTTCACTGGTTTCCCTTTTCACGTTGGTTTCCACGGGTTTCCCTTTGGCTTCACTTTGGTTTCCGTTTGGGTTCCACTGGTTTCCCTTTTCACGTTGGTTTCCACGGTTTCCCTTTGGCTTCACTTTGGTCTCCGTTTGGGTTCCACTGGTTTCCCTTTTCACGTTGGTTTCCACGGTTTCCCTTTGGCCTCACTTTGGTTTCCGTTTGGGTTCCACTGGTTTCCCTTTTCACGTTGGTTTCCACGGGTTTCCCTTTGGCTTCACTTTGGTTTCCGTTTGGGTTCCACCGGTTTCGCTTTTCACGTTGGTTTCCACGGGTTTCCCTTTGGCTTCACTTTGGTTTCCGTTTGGGTTCCACTGGTTTCCCTTTTCACGTTGGTTTCCACGGTTTCCCTTTGGCTTCACTTTGGTCTCCGTTTAGGTTCCACTAGTTTTCACGTTGGTTTCCACTGGTTTGCCTTTGGCTTCACTTTGGTCTCCGTTTGGGTTCCACTGGTTTCCCTTTTCACAATGGTTTCCACTGGTTTCCCTTTGGCTTCACTTTTGGTCTCTGTTTGGGTTCCACTGGTTTCCCTTTTCACGTTGGTTTCCACGGGTTTCCCTTTGGCCTCACTTTGGTTTCCGTTTGGGTTCCACTGGTTTCCCTTTTCACGTTGGTTTCCACGGGTTTCCCTTTGGCTTCACTTTGGTTTCCGTTTGGGTTCCACTGGTTTCCCTTTTCACGTTGGTTTCCACGGGTTTCCCTTTGGCTTCACTTTGGTCTCCGTTTGGGTTCCACTGGTTTCCCTTTTCACGTTGGTTTCCACGGGTTTCCCTTTGGCTTCACTTTGGTTTCCGTTTGGGTTCCACTGGTTTCCCTTTTCACGTTGGTTTCCACGGGTTTCCCTTTGGCTTCACTTTGGTCTCCGTTTGGGTTCCACTGGTTTCCCTTTTCACGTTGGTTTCCACGGTTTCCCTTTGGCCTCACTTTGGTTTCCGTTTGGGTTCCACTGGTTTCCCTTTTCACGTTGGTTTCCACGGGTTTCCCTTTGGCTACACTTTGGTTTCCGTTTGGGTTCCACCGGTTTCGCTTTTCACGTTGGTTTCCACGGGTTTCCCTTTGGCTTCACTTTGGTTTCCGTTTGGGTTCCACTGGTTTCCCTTTTCACGTTGGTTTCCACGGTTTCCCTTTGGCTTCACTTTGGTCTCCGTTTAGGTTCCACTAGTTTTCACGTTGGTTTCCACTGGTTTGCCTTTGGCTTCACTTTGGTCTCCGTTTGGGTTCCACTGGTTTCCCTTTTCACAATGGTTTCCACTGGTTTCCCTTTGGCTTCACTTTGGTCTACGTTTGGGTTCCACTGGTTTCCCTTTTCACGTTGGTTTCCACGGGTTTCCCTTTGGCTTCACTTTGGTTTCCGTTTGGGTTCCACTGGTTTCCCTTTTCACGTTGGTTTCCACGGTTTCCCTTTGGCTTCACTTTGGTCTCCGTTTGGGTTCCGCTGGTTTCCCTTTTCACGTTGGTTTCCACTGATTTCCCTTTGGCTTCACTTTGGTCTCCGTTTGGTTTCCACCGGTTTCGCTTTTCACGTTGGTTTCCACTGGTTTCCCTTTGGCCTCACTTTGGTCTCCGTTTGGGTTCCACTAGCTTTTCACGTTGGTTTCCACGGGTTTCCCTTTGGCTTTTACTTTCCCTGAAAATTGGGGATCCACCGCGTTGATTGGTAGAGATTTTCCGGCGACATACGGCAAGGGTCAAGTTGAGACAGGCGGCGGGGTAGTGGATTGGCCTACATTAATTGAATGGGGTTGTTGGGTACCACGAAACCAAGTTACCTCGTAGTAAAGCACTAACAATCTGTCTAACTGTTTAGACCCTTACATTGCGTCAACTCAGAAAACAAGCTCCCCATGGTGTCCTGATGACTTCATAGCAGCGATCCAATACCTATATCATGGTGTACCAACATATCTCGAGGAAGATGATTTTGGCTCACCAATTTCCCTAGCCTTAAGGAGCAGCCAGAAAAACAAAACACAACGAACCAATGCAAACCTTCAGGCCTTAGGAAAGCTGCCCATATTATGGGTGCGTCTCAACACGGCGAACGGCTCTAAAAGTAGGTGGATCATTTCTAAAAGGCAAAATCAAGCAGGGGTGTAGCCATTAAGTTAACATGGGTTTGTCTAGTACAACCATCTTGGTGGGACCACACTGAGTTTGCGATGCTCATTTGGGAATCATCCTCTATGCCCGATGTCCGATTAGGATACACCGGGTATCCAGAGGTATCTGGGGACTAGATAGGGTCGCGGGCTATTTCGAAAATGTTCTCAACTGACCGCGGGAGTCATACTGCAACCCCCCGTGAACCCAGCAGAATCACTTCCACAGGCCAGTAGCAGTGGGCCTAATCTTGAGGATCGGAGAGGCTACCACAGCTTTTTCCTGCGGAAACCACATCAAATAAACCTGTAAATAAGTTGTGAACGAGATCCCAGGTTTTGCGTAGTTGCACTTCCCCATCTTGCTCGAAGGATTTCTGTTTGGAAAACAACAACACAAACACACGGGCACTCAGATGTCCCATGGTCAACGCTCCCTCTGTGTCCAATGTTTCCAAATGGTAGTTGTCATGGTTGTCTGAAACAATCTAGTAATCCATGAACATCCACGTTTTTCCGGGTGCTTTTTTTGCAAACCAGCGGCTTCTTGCACCAGCTGCCGACTCTTCTTGTCCAGCTCATGCAGCTCCCTACGCTGCTCGCTGGCATCCTACCGGGGGTTCGGATGTGAAGCGAACGGCCCAGGTCCGCAATGGAATCCCTGAACCCTGAGGAATACTTGGCCAACGGTCAACCTGAAACCTGGGCTTCAAATCTTTACTTCCAACAGGTTCGGACAGAACTGTTCTTTGATTATTCCCCCCCCTACCCAGAATTGGATCAGGGGTCCCCTTTTAGTGGGGATTCCTTTCTAGGGAGCGCTGGTTGACAACTGAGGGGGTTGGGAGACATAGCGCCGCTATCATAGCGCTATTTGCCCCCAAAGGGGGGGGGGGGCCGCCAACTGAAAACGTAAGGCATCCTCGAAAAATCCTGCCAAATTTGGTGGGTCAAGAATAACAGAGCAACCCCAAATGGAACCCTGGTAAATGAACCTGGGGCTTTCCGGTGGTTGAATTTTGACCCCGAAAAGGGGTGCTTTTCCATCGGATCCTGGGAAGACCGGCCCGCGCGGCTTTTTCGCGTGTGGCCCGTCCTTTGCGGCCAGCTCGGCCTTGATTTGCACCTCGTTCTTCACGCCGATGACTTGGTGCTTCCTCAGTCAGGAAGGGGTGGGCTGGCCTCGCAAAATTCGGCAGAAACTCCTCCAGGTGGTGGGTCTCCTTTTGGTGTCCCGTTTAGAGCCAACCCAAAAAGGGCCCCCCCAAAAAACGGGCAGACCCGGGTTTGACCAAACTTGGACACCAGACCCGAGTTGAGCCCTAGGAGCCGGCCGCGGCAGTGGTAACAACTAGACCCGACTCGGCCCTCAACGTGCTGTAAGCCATTGTCAAAGCGGGTTGAATCAGACCCTGATCGGGTCAACTAGATTTTGTGTTGAAACAGTAGGGCCTTGAGCAAAAAGCCAAACAGATCGGCTCTTTAAATGCACTGGATTGTGCAACAGTGGGGCTTCATTCAACACAGAAGCTCAGGAAAGGGGATGGTTTTCCTTTGGCTGAGCCAAAACAAGATCGAGCAAGTCGGGCGCCCGGCACATCGAAGAAGCCGTACCTGAGCTGCCAAGACCTATTGAGTGGTTGCCCCCTGTTTTTTTGAGTACAACCTCAACAGGGGAATCATCCAAAAACAGCAAACATCAAGTCCTCTTACTTTACCACCATCCAAATGAGGAAGCGTCAACTTGGGAAGCCCTCTTGAAATTTGCCCCAAATTAAGACGCAAATTGAACCATGAGTATTTGGAGAAATCTCTTTTTGGGGCACCCCATTTGGTTCTATGTGACAGTTTGAAATGGAATTCAACCCACAATGGTTTGGCTACTAAAGCCACCATCTAAATTGGGTCAACTCGTTTTACTGGGGGCGGCAGTAACGATCTCTTGTGAAACCTCCACTTGCCTTTGGAAGTCGTTTGGAAGTCGCCTGGTGAGGTGGTAAGGGAAAGACGGAAGGACACCCTACTTCTGGCGGACCTCCAATTCCTATTCTCGAGGGTTTCCGCCAAACCACACCTGCCAGGAACAGGATGGAGGTGCCCTATAGCCAACAGACCTCTCTTTCGGAAATGAGGTGAGAATCCTGGAACCTCCGGAATTCCAAGCGATCTGACCAGCCGGGGTCCCAGCACGCGCCAGCCGCCCCCCATGCTGGCCACAGCTTCCGCCATGTGCTCAGCCTGGCGAGAGGCGAAGCAGGCGAAGTCGCAGACGCCGTGGCTGGGGGTTGTAAAGCTTCTAGTAATTTGTAATTTTGACACCAAATCAACAACTCCTGGGTTGAGCAATAGCGTGTGTCCCTCGTTTAGTTCAGACCACTTTTGGAGGGAACACCCCCCTTTGGACGGGATTACGTGGGTGTAGCCTATAGCCAAACGCAGGCGACCCCTCTTTGAAGGCCCCCCTCCCCCGCAAATTGGGCCTTTTTTAGTGGAAACTTAGGGACGCAAAGGCATCCCCCCAAAATTGCATGAAATTGCGGTCTGTTGAAAACATGTGCAAAACAACATTCCCCACGGAACGGAAAACTTGTTGCTGACAATGGAAAATGAAGGAACCCCTAAAGGCAAGAAGGCTACTTGGGGCTCCAAACAGGGGCCCCGAATCTGAAATCTGCAAGACAAAGAACAAGGATCCAACCACAACAACCCAGAATTGTCCCATGTGAAGTCACCAGGGAGCCTCCGATGAGTGTGTGTTCAGCTGACCTCAACTTGGTTGGCATCGACTTGATACCACAAAAAACTGAAATGCCCTCTTAAATACACTCATGAACCTCATAAACCCCATCTTTGCTCCCTGCTCACGCCCTCCTTGTCCCAGAAAAAGACAGCCCGCAACCCATTGCAAAGCGTTGTCGCTCTAGCCCGGGTATGGTTTCTTGTGCAACATATTTCATCAGGATGATAGAACGGGTCAAGCGTGCTTCTTTTTCCTATCTCCTTTTGCTTGGGTAGCGTCTGCTTGTGGCTTTTCCAAGCCGTTGCATGGGTCCCCTCGGTGTCTCGATTCGAGGGTAGCGGGTGGTTTCAGGGAAAACCCAAGGGAGGTTATCTATTTCGGAAGATATGTGCAGAATGACGCCAGATTAATTCACTTGGTGTTCCCCTCCAAAAATACAAGCCCCCACAAAGAGGGGACACCCCCCTAAACCACATCAACCAGGGTTTCTGCTTACTCCAGGTTTCCATTAGACAAACTTCTTCCTGAGGCTTCGCAGTGATCTTGGCCAATTCCTGCCTCAAGTCGAACTGACTCGGTCCGAAGAACAGTGGGACTCGCTCTTGACCCTGAACTTGTTGTTTGGGCCCATAGGGGTGGGAACCCTCTGGTGGGCATCATTTCGGTGGGGATTCATGTCCACCAACCAATTTTGAGCTAGTTCCCTACTATTGTCGGGTACCCCCAAATGGTGTTTCCCTTTTGGTGTCCCTTTGAAAATCCACCCATACATATGCTGGAAAAACTGGGTCCCCCTGAAAACACTCCCACCGCCTGAATGCGGCCAGCAAAGGAAGTCTCCTGCAATGCATGTCGACATGTCGAGAGCGTATGGTCCACCATTTGCGATCCAAATATGCCTTTGACATGAATAACATGGGAGTAGCTATACCGCAATCCCGACCGACCCCAGCCGCCTAATTAAGCTATTAGATCAATACTCGGTGTCAACTGAGTCAAATCAAAGCCTGGTATTGGTAAAATGGAACAAAACCAAAACCGTGTCAGAGATTATGTAAAGAATCAACATGATCAGGACCATCCCTTACCTCCTGGGACTTCGTGTGCTTGGTTCTTTTGGGGTGATACAGTGATACGCCCAAAGCCCATTGACTTTGGGTTCTTCGACCATGGTTGTACAGGTTTACTTCGGCCTTGTCACCTTGATGAAGCCAGGAATCGAAGAATCGTCTGAAATGGCCAGAGGTGTTCGGTGCTCCCCGGAAATTGAACCTATTCGGGTGTGCGCTTCGGGTGTGTTTTTCAGGCTGGATGAAAGGGAACCCACAAAAAAGAAGAAGTAGGAAAACCACATTTTTTTTTGGGGGGGGCCTCCTATTGGACGGCCCCTGTTTGGAGCCCTCTGACTAGCCGGGCTCCTGGTTCATCCTGTCGAAGAGCTTCAGGATGTCCGTCTTCATGGCCGGGACTTCCATGCTTGACAGGACCTGCGTCACCTCAGCCGAGTCCACTACCCTCAAACCACCACCTTCAGCGAAGCCCAGTGGATGTGCCCTTGTTATACCAGTACATGGCTAAATATCCCATCAACACCATCTTGGGGCAACCCATGTTTCTGTAGGTTTTTCAGGAAACTGGTCACGTTGAGCCTGCGAGCAGAGGGGTGTGCGGTTTCCGGCAAACTTTATTTAAGCCCAATGGGTTTGCTGAGAAAGGTGGCAGCCTTCTCAGCAAATTTCCCCCTAGTAAATAGGGCTTGTTGGAGACCGGCCCCCACGTCCTCAATTCAAAGCTTGTGCAGAGCGAGCTTTGCTACATCTTGTGTTTGCTGTCCATTTTGCAGGGCGGTAGAAGGGAATTTTGCAGAAACGCACTGGGTGGATCCTGATGGAAAACATGGCGAGAATGACCTAACGTGTCAACCAACAAAGCCTTAAAGCGAGTTCGAACCACCTTTCAAGGCCAGGGGAACCTTAAGCTTGCTTTAGGCCACCTCAAATCGCATACCTACTCCAGCACACACAGCATTACGAGGAGATCCTTTTTGATGGTTCCCTGTCTATCTCGGCGTTAACGCCCCTTGTCCATTCAAAACCGCCGAGTAAGTAGGGCTTTTAATTACAAGCCACTGGCAAAACGACTTGTTCTCGCAAGGCAAGGAGGGACCTTTTGACCCCCCCCCCCCCCCAGTTTTGGCGGGGGAATTTAGTGACCCGCCCCCCCGCGTCCCTCCCAACCAACACTCGGTTGGGACGGTCGCCTGAGGGCCTAAGGGCCGCACGAATGGCTCCTGAAGCGCCGCCTCCAGCTCCTTCCGGTTGATGAAGCCAGGCACGGTCCTGGCAGAAAGACGCCGCTGGTGAGCTGCTGAGCGGCTTGCAGTGAAAGGAAGAAGCAAGAACGAGTGGAAGAAACAAGCAATTAAATAAAGACAAACAGAAAGAAAGAAACAAAGAAACAAGGAAACAAAGAAACAAAGAAAGAAAGAAAGGAATAAAGAAAGAAAGAAAGGCACACTAAGCAAGCACACAAGCCATAACCAACACGTAGGGCAACACGTTGGTTTCCTTTATGCCGAGCTTCTTGCGTACAGGTGCCAGTGGCAACAACCAAGCAAAGCAAAGCACAGAAACGCAAGCTAGCAAACAAATCCTCTTCCCGAGTGTGTCATCCATGCTTCCCAGTGTGCTCTTTTTACATGAAAGTGTCAAAATAAAAAAGCCTGCAAACGAACGGTTGTGCTTTGAGTGTCCTTTCGAACCACCTCAAAACATGTACCGAGCCTCAACAAAACCACACCGCCACATAGAGTTCCTCACACTGCTTCTCTCGCCTCCCGTGCTGGGCGAAGAGTTTGCCTAGCTCAGAGGCCACGGACTCGCGCTTCAGGTCCTTCGACCAAACCCATCAAACCCATCGGACAGGAAGAGGCTGGGGGGCTTGGGGGATCTTGAGAGGATTTACCGGTTGACAGGGGTATGGGGGATCTCGGCCTCTCAACATGTTCCTTTTGGGGGCGTTGTTTCCCTAAACCTTCGCTTCTGGTACCGAGCGAAGCCTCAAGAATGAGATTGCCCCATCATTGTGGGTTGCAATGTGCCATTGGAAGCATTCCGAAAAAGGAGATATGGTTGTGGGTCAGACATAAGCACCCAAATTGGAACCCTGGAAAGTGGAAACATGGAGAAAAGCCCGCGCTCCCCAGGTGGTGATTTGACCCACGCCCATATTTCCCCCCCCTCCCCTCCCAAATTTGGGTTGTGCCATGGCGGTAGTCTTCGATGCCGAAGGGCTCGGTGAGGCCGACCGCTCTCTACCCCGCTGCACACCGTTGGAAGTTTCCCCATAGACGAAAAGAACACCCAGAATGGATCGGAAAACTGACCACTGCACAACTCGTAGATCAATACCCAGTATTGTCTATGGGCAAAATGGCTCGGGGGTCTATGCTGGAGTTGGCCCCCGTTTTGAGGGAAGCTAAACACAACCACCCGTTTTAGGGTTCCTGTGTCCTGGCGGTGGTGCGAATTCGCCAAGGGCCTTTTTGTTGACATGTCTGGTCGTGTTTCAAGACAAAGCAGCTAGAGCTGTTTGGCGGGAATCCCAGGTTTGAATCACCCACATGTTTGCGCAACCCCGAAAGTGGGGGGGGCTCCTTGGTGGTTTGCAATTAGGTCTACCTCGGGGAAACCCAACCCCCTTCATTTTTCTCCGCCCCAAAAACCAGGCAGAAACCTGCATAAACAAGAGTTGCTGGTGCTCCAGGCGGTTGAGAAGAGTTAAACAGGTTAACAGGTGCTTGGACAATTTCTCAAGCTAGCCTCAAAAGGGAACTCACCCACAAACAGGTGGTTTAAGTGACCAACCCCACTGACCTTTTGCTTTTAGGGTAATTCTTCCAGGCCGAACCGCCAAAAACTCGAAGAAACCAGTGGTCGTTGAAAAGAACCCACCCTGCGATGCAAACCACCATTACAACAATGGGGGCTTAAATACAACGCCATTGCTTACCTCGAGTCTCATCCGAATTGGGTCAACCGTTCTGTTGGAAAGCGACCTATGTGATCCGAGGCCTAAGGACCTGGAGAGTCGAGCAGGACAGCCTTGAACCATGGTCTAGGGCGACTTGGTTGGACTCCCTGCTGTCCACTACCATGAAATCATATGGAACCCACATACAGACACACACACAAACACAAACACAAACACAAACACACACACACACACACCCACACTCTCACACACGCACGCACACGCGCACACACACAAACACACACACACAAACACACAAACACACACATACAAACACACACACACAAACACACACACACACACAAACACACACACACACAAACACACACATACAAACACACACACACACACAATCGCACACACAAACACACACAC